TTAAATTTTTTACATTTTTAGAATGAATTCTCTTTCGATGATTTCCCTCTGGAGGATCTCGACGAGTTTTTTTTCACACTATGGTGTCTTTTAGATATGGAAGATGATGAAATTGTTGTACTTTTTAACCAATTTCACTTTTTTATGGCTGTGAATCAGATTTGTAATGTCACATCAGTCATAAGTTGGGGTTTTGTAGATTATGAGGAAGATGTAGCAGCACCCCTTATAGAAGATTATCTTTGGTTAAATACTAATTACAATTCAAACAATTATAATATTACACATTTTTATTCAACACCCGTAGCGTCCTTTTTGTAATTAATAAACTTTTACATGGTTTTACATTTTGTCTCTCTATCTGTAATCTATTTCATGGTAGGCAGAATGGTAACCATCTGCGACTTCTTTATCCCAGTTGGTATAGTAGATACATCTCTGGTTTCCATAGGGGTGGTAAATGTATCGTAAGGCATCGCGAAATATAATGTCATGATGTCTTTCCCTTAGTTTTAATTCCTGTATTTCCAGATCTTTTTCCTTACAAGAATGAACATGTTTCGATGCTTGCTGACGAATCTTGCGTTTTAGATTGGAAATTTTCTTTTGAGCCTTGGATCCTCCCATCCCGGAATTGGATGTAACAACACACTTGCGCAGCCTTTCTTCTTGCTCTGGTCAATATCGAATTTGTACTCGAGATAGGGAGCAGAGATAACTACGATAGATAATTTCTCTAGGACTCTCGAGAGCTCTGTCACAATCCATGGTAATGGAGACTGGCTGAATCTCTAAGAATACCTCGGTTTTTATGGCGTAAGCGATACCATTTTAAAGAGTGTTTAAATTCTGTCATAGCCTCAATGTCAGTAACCAACCAAGTAATACATTGGATGTAAGATGATCCACCCACGCGAAATGCGTTGTAAGCAGACATGATATCTTCAAAGTTGTGACCATGATGACGAAGGTTGTTCCCCAATTTCACAAAATCAAACCAATGGGTAAACATCCACATTTGCTTGTGTGCTCCTTTAGGACTCGCATAGTGTGTTACTTTTTCCAAAATGCGATTGTAAATACCTTCTCGGCAATACCATAAGTAATCTTGGGTAGTTTTCATAGCCGTCAAGTCATCTAGTTTTTCCATGACAAGACGTAATACGTTTAAAAACATCCACACATTGTCATAGTCTTTCACCTGCGATATGACCCGGTATCTCCCTTCTTCTGTCGATGTTTCTTCATACCCCAAAATGTGGTGAAGTAACACACTCGCACGACCCGTCTTTTTTTCGTCATTCACATGAAATGTATACATAGTATGTGGACAAATAGGACTCATATACGCTAACTCTAACACGCGCTCTAAATCCTCGTGGAAAGCCATCGTCACTAAGAAATGAGACTTAAACCTTTTTTCAAAAACCCTTTATTACATATCTATTTACAATCTGATTGGTTTAACGACCTTGACAATCTGGACAATCGCATGGCGCTCTATTCATTTCTCTTTCTTTTAAAAGCTTGATGAAATCCACAAGGGCCACAAACACTCGATTCCTCTTTTCCACTTAATCAGGCTGTTCTTCTTCAAGTGTTAGCCTATAATCATGTTTTAACATTTGTGTCATGTCGTCTTCATCAGCGTTCTTTTCCACATTATCTAAAAGTTCATCGATATGATGAAGAGTCCATTTTGGATTACTCTCTACGTCGCACATGTTTCGTTACCTGAGCTAACCACGGATCTTCAGTAGGCCCTTTGATAGCTTTACCCAAGTGATGATATGTACCCATAGCCAATCCTTTTATGTAATATCCACAGGTTACGACTTCCAGTGATGGCATTGCCGGTCTCCCAACATGAATAGGACGGCATTTCGCTGGTTTTCCCGCCCCGATCAAAACGCCTTGGATTTGTGTTCATTAAACCGGTTAAAATAGTGAGAGGATCTCATAGAATTATTGAAAAATAATTTCCAGGATAGGCGTTTTCCACTGTAGTTTTCTCTGGGCGTTTAGTCAAAAGTTCTCAGCTACAAGAGGCTGGTTCTTCGACGGATGTGAGCGCAACAAAGACTTAACATCAGGCTACTCAGTTATTTTTTTCGATCTATGGGTTCTTCTCTTACACAGTTTTTCTTCTTTTAAAGGTACTATGACAACTCTCAGAACGATAAACTTTCCCAACTCATCGTGTTTTAGTAAACAGCATGAGCAAGTTAAGCAGTTGATTCAATAAAATCGATGCAACTTTTTTCCAGTGGTTGTTCTTGTTACTTCCGCAATGGACGCAAGCAATACAGGAAGCCCTGGCTTAAAGAAAAAGTGAACAAGACTAAACATCTTTAGTGTGCAATTTTGAACGCGAAGAAAAAATTAAAAAAAAACGAAAATATAAAATAATGTTAATTTTGCCACGTGTTTCATTAGGTGGAACAGTATTAAGATAAGAGGAGTGCTTTGGCAGAATATTTGGTGTTTTAGCTGATCTTAAGTTGGAATGTTATATTTTATTGTATGGCTTCCACATGTTCTGGTCTCATTACGAAATACTGTTCTTCATTTGTCTCTTTACCAATGTGTCCCATCCTAGTTCTCTGATCATATCTGATACACTAGATGTTTGGTTGTAGTTCTGAAGACAAAGCAAGCTGCTTTTCTCATTTAAAAAGTAGGATAAGTGATTGATTGTACGTTCTATTTTTCAAGTGACTACAAGTTAGTCAAGACAATATTTGTTTATCTAGCTACTTTTTTTTAGGAAACTTTTGTTTAAGATTGTTACTAGATCTATGATGGTGTGGGTTGAAGAGAAGGATGTGAAACTCTTGCAAGCTGTCACAGCATGAAAATAAAGATTTATGAAAAATTAAAGTTGGCTTAAATCTCCTTAAAGTAAGTTATCCAACTTTACGCCATGAATTAAATCGCCTTAAAGCTGTGTAAAGGTTACATTTACATAAAGGTAATGTAAAGTAGGCGTAAAGGTAGTTTACCAACTTTACGCCATGGATTAAATTTTCTTAAAGGTAAGTAAAGGTTGCATATACGCTGCCTTGTGTAAAGAGTATGTAAAGTTGGCATAAAGGAAGTCGAACAAGTTTACGCTGCCGCGTAAAGTTGCTTTAAAGTTGTGCTTTAAGCCGTGAATTAGAATAAGCCTGTCAGAGCTATTTGAACAGATTTATGTTTAATTTTCGAACGAGCTAGTAAATTTGAAAGATTCGTAATTTTTTTTACACAAATGATGGCTAATTTGCATTTATTTCTATTGAAAATTCCTTAAATATATAATACTGTTGGTAAGGTAAACTTCATCCATGCCAATATTTTGAAAACAGCAATTACTATACTGGGGTCAATTCAATAAAACTTCTACACTTGTAATCTGTAAGTTGGACCGTTGTATTTACAAGTGCAGACGAAAACGAGTTTAACAAACATCGTTACAAGTCCAGGTTACAAGTGTCCGACTTGTAATTACAGGTGTATCGCTACAAGTGTAAAAGATGGTAAGTATCATATTAAATAAAACTTTTACAAGAGTTTGACTTGTAAATCACAAGTGCAAAATACAAGTCGCATGTCACTTGTAAACATTGAATACTTCTTCTGAAAAAGGAAACTGGAGCATCACAACATGTCATCCTCAAGTGAAGAGGAACTTGACGAGCCGCTAAGACGTCAAGTTATCCGTCAACCAAGAAGTTTTGTCTGCCTGTGGACGCCTTCGTCCACCTTTTGGAATTAGTAGGCCCGCGCTTGGAGTATAGAACAAGACGTAACAGAGCACTAACAGCAAGACAGCAACTTTTAGTATTTCTCCATTTCCTTGGAACAAATTCCTTCTATCACGTAATGCACTCTTGTCGTGGGATCTCCACATCAACAGTATGGCACATCATTCATCGCATTGTTCCTGCAATACTAAGCTTGAAGTGGGAGTTCATACGATGGCCTGCTGGTCAGCCTCTAAGTATTGCTGCTAAATTTAGAGACATTGCAGGCTTTCCGTGTGTCGCAGGATTTGTTGATGGAACTCATGTTCAAGTAAACCCACCTCGCAATGATGAAGACCCCTACGTCAACTGCCATCATTCCAAATCTCTGAATGTCGCCATGGTATCAGGCCCAGATTACACAATCTACTTCTGCAGCAGTCGATGCCCTGGAAGGTGGCATGATTCATGAGTGATTAAAGAAAGCTCGCTGTGGACCGCCTTTGAGCAACAGGGGAATAAACCATTCCCAGGAACAGTTATTTTAGGCGACTCTGCCTACGCCTGTAACAGTTGGTCGATCCCCCCATTCAGAGGAGACGTAGAAGGGGCTCGCCGCAGGTTTAATGAGGCACTTAAGAAAACACGATGCACTATCGAGAGGGCATTTGGCATTCTCAAGAAAAGGTTTTACGCTCTCCAGACGGGTATGAGAGTGAAAAACATGACAAGAGCGGCCGGGCTTGTCCAGTGTGCTGTTATATTGCACAACCTCTGCATTCTATTTAGCGATAATGGCAATGATATGCTGGATGATGCAGATCTTGACAATGTCCACGATAAGTTGGATATCGGTCCTGGAGAGTAACAAGAGGACAGAAGGCAGCAGCTGCTGCAGCACTTCCTTTAAGTGTGAGGACTTATACAAATTATGCTGAATTAAAAACTGCCATTGTTTCAATATCGTGCCAAATAAATGGGCCATTTTTTTATTCAATGATGGTAATCATTAAGTTATATTGCACAAAGTACACTTACACCTAACTTCCAAAGGAAAAAGTGAATGTACATATAGGTCATAATTCTGATATCATCCATCACCAATTAACAGTATTCCTCTGACTATCAATAGCATTATAATACAATAAGTTCGGCAAATGTCCAAAGGCTACTAATATAATCAATTTGATTTACATTTTGGACGCCTTTCAATGAAATTAATTTTCAAGATCCTTTCTGAGATTTTTTTTCCCTCCAGTCTCAGCTTAATGTTTTTTAGTTGGAGCTTTCTCTTTCTAAGGCGCAGTATGTTGTCCTATGTTGTCTTCTTGTCTGTAGCTGACGATTTCCCTTTAGCCCTGAGAGCACCTTTCTTCCCAGCTGATGACAGAGCTTGACGTCCAATTTTTTTGGCGTTGGTGTTCCGGCGACTGCCTGCCTAGGTAACATTTGTGGTGAGCCAACACTACTATGTCCACTTACTTCTTCCGTTTCACCAATCCCAGTTTCTGCGGTAGAAAATTGCACTTCCTCAGTGTAACTTCCAACGCCACCTAGTGCAAAGAAATAGACCATAACAATAACTTCATAATATGTTGGGTTAGAAGTCGCTCCGGTTTGTCCGCGTTGGGAAAGGATAAATGTCGCAGGGTGGGGTTTAGGGTTTCAGGACCTAAGATGAGGTAACTCTTCTGAAACAGTTTTAAGAGCTGAGTTGGTTTATAAAACTTTTACTCCAGTTTGGCATCACACAATAGTTCCTCCTCCGACGCTAGGAGTTTTTGTGACAACGATCTCCTCTCCAAATACAATATCCGAATCGTCGACTTTCACAGGCTCTAAACAAAAAATCTTGACCCATGTTTTCCATTTTGTTTAAAATTCATCTTTTTTCTAAAAAAAATTCCTTAGTCAGTCAATAAAACAAATTGAATTCAAGATTTGCTCTAATCCTAGACAGAGATAAGTACCAAAAGTGTTTTTTAAATTTTAAACAATTTATTTTCAAGCATAAACTTTAAATTATAGTTGAAACGATTAACAATAGTGAAAATATAGATATCCTCATGCATTCATCGTCACATAATTGGAAAATAAAGCTGAATTGGCCTAGCAATAAAATGAGTCACCAAATCCGTATTCAGTGATTAAAAACACTATGGTTCCTAAGTGCTTCAAAAATGCCAAAACAGCACATGCTCCCTCCACTGTTTTCTGTGACAAAATACCAGAGAAGAGATACATGGACTACATTTATATACTCAGTATTTTCCTACTTAATAAATCTTGATCTTCATCAAATTTATGCCACCACACAACAGCAAACATATGCTGATTAAATTTGCCACTAACCTTAACACTATGAACAAGGTAAAAGCTAACTATGCCTGGTCTAGTAGCTCCAGAAGTATCAACTGTGCCATCAGAGGTACTCCAAGAAGTTATTATTCGTCCTGATCGCAGATTACAACAGTCCATCTTTGAACCAAACTTCTCAGTTCCAAGCATTATGTTTGAATACTTGCGGGTAACACTGGATAAAGAGGAGAGTTCAACTTCTTCATGTGGATACAGTGTTTTGTAACAGTCAAGAAGCACCCTCAGCTCATCAGAATCTAATGCATACTGCTTGAATGTGCTAGGATGACTAACAAGTGTAAGATCACTCCACTGGAAGTCCGCAAGATGTAAGCAAAATGCACTATTAAATAGAGCGGTGGCATTCTTAACATTCAAACTCTGAACAATGTCATTTCTTGCCTGCGTAAAGAAAGGCATGAAGGTATCTTGGAGCTCAGCAGGAAACTTTGCATCCCAAATAAACCGTTCAGCAAGAAGTTTCCACATCAGCTGCACCTCAATCGATCTTCCATAATTTGAATTGCTCCAAGAATACCATTAAAACGTTCAGAACTGAATCACCAAAATGCATGTACTGGTCTGCAGTCAATGATGCATTCTTTTAAATGACTGTGAAGGTGCATGTTAGGGGTCACAGCTTTCTTGCCATATAAACATTCAAATCGTTCACCAAATTTGACAAACAGCATGTCAGCTTTCACAATGTCAATCTTTGATATAATTGGAGAAGATGTATACTGGCAAGCGAGGACAAATGTTTGGCATCATCTTATACGGCTTACTTAAAGCAGACCCTCCAAACAGAACACGGAATAGATAAGAGTCCAGTTTTTCCACTGTGATGCAGTGTAACTACTATAGTTTGATGCAATGTGATGAGGTAATCGACCAATTCCTGTCCCAACATCAAAAGAATGGATTCGCTCTTCAGGCACTCAGGCACTTTAAGACCTTTCTTTGTTAGTAAGTTCTTCTTAATCCATAGTTTAAAAACATGTTTTGCTGTTCCTAAAAACAAATCATGCATAGGATCAATAGCTATAAATTTAACTGCATCAAAGTACACAAGTCGCCAAAGACAGCTGTGATAAACTCCATATTTTGTTATATATATTATTTACAAATTTAAGAGAGCTTTATGCTAGCTTTACATATTGTAAACTTGACTTCTTCATGCTGTGTGTACCAGCTGAGGGTGTTTTCATCAACAGTAAAGCAGGAAGCAGAGAGGAGCACTAAATGACCACATCTCAGAAGGCATAAGATCCCTTAACTTAATATGTGCAACTCTTCCATTGGCCAAAGAACAGAATGAGACAAACTCAAATTATTGGAAGTAGTCCTAATAAAGAAGGTGGTTGAACTTCAAACTTTTCTGTCACAATGTTACCATACAGAGGGGTCAATGCATTTTCCAAAAGGGCACAAACAATGTAAAATTTCCCAACTGAACTCATGTTTATTTGTAATTGGCGAATCAATAAAACTTAAAATAGTTTGAAATGTCACGAAAAAGCCACTCGACTGCAACTCTTACTTCACTCATGGCTGCATTGTACAAAACCATCTGCTCTGGGATAAAACGTAATAGTGACCTGGAGGAAATTTTGGAGTTTCCCTCTCAAGGTCACAACTTAGCTATTATTGGTCAGGATGGGGTGGGGAAAAATGAAGTAGTGAAACGGATCGTTCAATGTTTCATGGCACGTGTGCATGGAAAGACAGTTGGTGTCATATGCTCGAGTGGCATTGCCTGCCAAGTTTACGATCATGGCTCAGCCTTGACCTTTCACTTTCAGAATAAAGGCTCTGGATGTTGTCATATGGGATGAAGCCAGGACGTTGCGCAGAAGAATGTTTGAAGTTGTGAACTTCCTTCACCACGAACTTGCAACTTATAATTCTCCCTTGTTCGACCTCTCCATTCCACATCGTTTTGGCTTGACTTAGTCAATGCGTCAACCGGAAGGTGATAAGCAATTTCTATCGGCTCTTTCAGACTTAAAGACTGTGACAATGTACAAGTTCATCCGGACAGTATCTCTTGTACTTAGATGGAGCATACCACTGGCGTTACAAGTAGCAGCCACACGCATTCTTCTAAACTGAAGAAAAGACTAGACGAAGCGGTGGAAAATGCTTCGTGTTTTGTCCAAAAATATTCGAAAATAACAGTAAAATGAAAAATGACGTTCCAGTCCCATCTGAGGCCGAGTTAAAGTCCTTCTTGTTTGTAACAAAGGGTAGAACTATTGAAACTGTCCCAAACCTCTATGACAGGAAGTATTTGGACACGCAATACAATGAACTGCTGGGAGCCTGCGCTAAAGTGAACACTGAAACGATGACTGAACAAGCAACAATTATTGTAAAAGATACTAGCAATCAATCCAGTTGCAATGCCTTTTACCGCAAGCAAACATGTCAAACTAACCCAGTTAAACCATCCCATTCCCCTATCGCAACAATGTGTTACCCCAATATTTTCAAATTCAGCACTGCTGCTACAGAACATGGCTGCAAGCATGAAAAAAGTCGTTGCTGCATTCAAATTAACAATGAAGGAAAGGCATTTAAACTTCGAGTCAAGGAGTGTGGATTGTTTCTAAACTAGCAGCATCCATGGTTGCATGCCACACCAAATTTTCTCTGCAGCTGTGACTGTTGTGAAAGGGGTATGGGGAGATCAAGTACCCTTACAGGATTTGGATTTTCAAAAATACTTTACTGAACAAGGAATTGTGGAACGATCTGCTGTGTTCTATCGGAAATATTGAATATTTCAACAGGTTTAAAAAAGCTATTAGGACTTGTTTGCAAAAAGCTTTTTAATTCTTTGTATGTAGTTTTTATGTTTCTACATCTTGGTCAACAATTTTTTTTTGCTTAAATAACTAGATACAGTTAAATTTTAAACATTGTCATGCACATTGAAAATTTTACATTGACAATTGCGCAATATAACTCAATAAATTATTAATAATATCATAATTAAACAACGTTCGTATGTGGCAACTTGTGAGTTAAGCCTGGGAGAGGTGAAGTTTGCTACCTCTGGATTAAAATCTCTAAGACTTGTCCAGGAGGCCATTGTGAAATTCTTCAAGATGAACACATGGGAAGAGACTATTGACGAATTCAGAAGTGCCGTATCACCTGAAAAGCTGTTGCGGTGTGCTGTGAGTGGACATGTAATAGTGTGTACCTCAGTAATTTAGACCTTGGTCGCACTAGAGACAAAGTCGAGACAAGTCTATTTTGATAACCCAAAAATCTGTCAAAATCCTATCATCAGTTGACCAAGCCAAGTGCGACCTACTTGTCTCTTCGCGGACAAAAACTTGTCTACAGAGACAAATCTTCAAAGGTGCCATCGTCCTGCCTCGAGGCATTTTATGCTTTTCTTTTGACCAAATTGTCAATCAATTCAGTGAATATTGAATAAATCGTCATTTCACATTTCACTGGTTGCCCTAGGGTGTTTTAGGGTTAGCTACCTTGTTAGTCATGCTTGGAAGCATGCCTTTGCAGATTTTACTTCCATTGTATTTGCTTGGCGTGCAGATATTGGTGACGGTTTTTTAGTTTCCAACTGTGTCTAACGTTGCAGTAGACCTTTTATTCTCCTTCTGTCACGTTATTATTGCTTCGTCAACCCGGCTTATCGTGGCGTGGTGTCATCGACCAGAATCGTCATGGCCTCGTCAGATGAAGTAGACATGTGGCAACGGCGGGAGGTCAGAAGTGTCCTTACAGCATGAGCAGCAGGCCCTTTGAAGCCAGGCTGGTCAGCTCCAGGCCTTGGAAAACCGTCGGCAGAGGTTTCTGCAGGAGTACAACTGGGGTGACGCTGATGGCCCATCTACCATCCACACCACAGAGGCAATCAATCTCAGGCACTGGTGTTGGCAACAGAGCTAGTCGTATTGTGGCAGATGTGGGCAACTCTCTCGTCGAAAGCTGATGCCCTCTTTCAGAAAGTGCTCCAACCCTCTTATGGAAATGTCCTGCAAGTGTGGTCGGGAAATGATGTTATGTAGGAATGCTATATTTTATTGTATGGCTTCCACGTGTTCTGATCTCATAACGAAATATTGAATATTTTTCTGATTATTACATAAATAATGGCGTGGACTAACGAGAATGATGTTTAACTCTTGCAAACTGTACCAGCTGAGGGTGTTTTCATCCACAGTGAAGCAGGAAGCAGAGAGAGAGGAGCACTATGATAGGCTGTTGCCTCTGCCCATATGGCAGCGGGTATGCTTGTCATTTTTCAGTCGATTAGAGACCACTTAATATTATGGCCAAGAAGTGGCGTGTTAAAGTTAGGCAAGAGGAGAGAAAGAGTGGTGGTGGAGATAAAAAAATGAGTGCAGTTAAAAAGGTGGTGGAGGAGTTGGTGGAATTGGAGATGGAGTCTGAGAGGAGCAGAAGGAAAAGGCAAAGAAATTACTGAAAGAGGAGAAAAAAAAAGGGAGAGGAGATGAGGAAAAGCGCCATGGAGAGGTTAAGCAAGACCAAAAAGAGACAAGAAGACACAGAAAAGATGAGGAGAAAAAAGGAGAAAAAAAGGAGAAGATCAGGAGGAGAGGCAATAGAGCGCTTGAGAGAAAAGGGAGAGACTGTGCACGGGATGAAGGAGCAAGAATTCTAAGAAACAAGGGAAGAAAGGGAGGCCCAGAGATCTGAAAATGAACAGTCCGTGTTACAAATACACGCACGAAATGAGCAAATGAAATTGCTTCAGCAACAAATGCATTCACAGTACCAACAGCAGAATCATTTACAGCAGAATCAGCAACAACAAAAATTTGAAATGTTGCAGCATCAAATGATGCAAGTTTTGACCAATCAGACACGGGCATTTCAACAACTTTCTAAGATAGATTAAGGGTTAGCGCTAGATGTAAATTCGCATTGCTTGATACTTTAACTAAACAATTTATGAAGGAATTATACTCATGTTAAAATGCATTATTATTATCTGAGTTTTGTTTATTATCTAATTTTTGTACATAAAACAACATTTTAAATGAAATAGAGCATGTTTTTTAGAAAAAGCGTAAAGGCCAATTATCTTGACTATTTTTATTGATTAAAGAAAATTTTTGGCCTGCAGGCTTCAGTAAATTTAAACAAAGTATGAATAAAATAGAAAATAACAACTTTGATCATTATAAACCACTGCACAATCATCAAAGAAAATATTGTGTTGACCAGAAAGTGTAATTGGTACACATTACCAATGGGCCAAGGTTAATACACTTTTGAGCTCTAAAAATTTCATGACTTTTCAGGAAATACCATGACCTAAGTTAGCAAGTTTAAAATTAAATTGAAGTAAAAATTGCATTAAATTAAATTTTTAATCCTCCAACATCAGTATACGCAACTCTTCCATTGGCCAAAGTACAGAATGAGACAAATTCAAATTATTGGAAGTAGTCCTGTAAAGAAGGTGGTTGAACGTCAAAGTTTTCTGTCACAATGTTACCATACAGACAGGTCAACGCATTTCCGAACAATGTAAAATTTCCCAACTGAACTCATGTTAATATGTAATTGGCTTTTAAAATAAAACTTAGAATAGTTTGTAATGTTACCAAAAAGCCTCTCAACTGCAACTCTTACTTCACTCATGGCCGCATTGTACAAAACCATCTGTGGAGTGCGCTGAATGTTTTTCAAAGGGCCTACAGATGTACACCTAAAGGATATACACCATCGCCATGAAGACAATGAGGATGCCCTTTATGAAACGCCAACCTCTGAAGCTCATTGAGAATGCCTGATTGTTGGAGTATTGCGCTGTCGTGTCTTTTCCCTCCAAAGGGACCATGAAGGTTTGAAGTTAATCTGTTAGGAAAGACAACACTCTGAAATTTTATGGAATGTATTCTCTTGTGGCCATTGTACATGACCCTTTGGTTTTCCTATGGCCTCGCTATTCCACGCACGGTACCATCTAGAGACTGTTTTCACGTGACATCACAGAATTATTTTCCGCCATGTTGGTGCACATCTGAGTCACGTGTTTCAGTCATTATTATATGCAAACACGGTCCAAATGTATAGTTCCTTCCAGTTTACAATAAAAAAATTATATGTATGGCATCTACTGCAAAAAATTCTATTCCTTTGTGTGATCCAGACTATCTCATCCAAATTCCACTGTCTGATTATGTTAAAAAACTGGATGTCAAAGTTAGAGAGCGTTATCTAAAGAAGATCTCGACTATCGGAATCGATCCTGTTCTAATAGATGGGAAACGCTTTGAGCCTGATTCCTCACCGCCGGTAGAATCGATGGATTTGCACTGTTATTTGGTTCTCGAGACTAGCTATTATATGCAAAAACAATTTAAGGCCTTCCACAGTCTCGAGGCCAACAATCAAATGGTGTTAAGCTTTGTTTGCAACTTTCAAGGACATATCATCGCAAGTTTGTGGCGTTGGCAAAAGTGCGGCATTCACAGCACATGAACGATGCCTTGATTCCGGATAATTACCGCTAAAGATGGAACAACAAAAGGAGCTCATTGTTTGGATGCAAGGCAGGCCTTGCCGAATCATGTTCGCACATAGCTAGTGTGCTATTTTACCTTGAGGCTTGGACAAAGGTCAATAGAAGGCTTTCCTGTGCGCAAATTAAGTGCCCATGGATACTTATCTTAAAATATGCTAATGAAGAGTTTTCTTTGATAATATTATTCTGTAGCATTTTTCTGAAATTTGAGTGGGAAATTATGTTTCTGTATGTGTTACCTAGATTATTCTATAGACATTATGCACTTGAGAGGAAGTCCTGAGCCCTGAGTTTCTTTTTCATGATGGTATCAAATAGCAGATCTAGTTCAATAACCATGTTTATTTTTTTTTAGAGGGCACAGTAACGAATCCTGCAATCTGATTGGTTCTTTACCTGGTCAATATTTTCCTATATCTGCCCATGGGCCACAATAATGCTTTCGTGAGTCGCTGAGTACATCCCAACTTCCGTTGCCATTTTTCATAAATATATCTGGTTTTTCCGGCGGGGCAGTATTTTTATTTAAACATGTCAGTCACAACCTCAAGCCGATAAATAACTTATGAATCCTCCCTTTTCTTTCTCTCAAATCACTTTTGAGAGAGAGAGATATTGATTTCAGAATGAATTTGTATAAGCAATAGTGTCACTACGTTGGTTGACAAGCGGCCTAAATACCATGTGCAATTAATTTTCATCGTTCACAAAAAGTACAAAGAAAGTTAAAACGTGAAGTATTTGGTTACAGTTAAACTGAACGATGGAACTTTTATTCATTTAACATCTGAATTTTTTCAAACAATTTGTTATCAGTTATCGCTGCGCTGTTCTCAGAGCAGCGAACATGTTGACGGAACAAAGCTGATCCTGGTTCGCTTTCCCCATTCCCCTTTTTGGGTTTATTTTGTTAATTTTTGGCTAGTCATATGTAGTTATACTAGTCTCTTGATGCATGGCTAGGGTATGTAGTTATCCTAGTCTTATCTTGCCTTTTGGCTGTAATCTCAGGCTTTGTTTTCCTTTGGCTAGTCATATGTAGTTATGCTAGTCTTATGATGGCTAGGGTATGTAGTTATCCTAGTCTTATATTGCCTTGAGGTTTTCGTGGGCTAGTCATATGTAGTTATCCTAGCTTCATATTTTTTTTCTGGTGTTTTAAGGGCTGCCAACTTGTCGACAAATTTTCTTGACATGGTTGTCCCTGCCAGTTTACTGTACGTGTATTTTGATGCCAATCACTTGGTCTTGCCCTCTGTTTCACTTTGGGCTATCAATTTTTTCTTTTTCTGCCAAATGTTTCTTTTTCCCTTTGCAGAATCATGCCAAAAGCAAGAACACGCACATCACGGCAGCATCAAGTTGGGCCAGTGGCTGGACCATCCAGGACACATGCTAGTCCCCGGGCCAGTGTCAGGGCAAGTACTGCAGCATCAGCAGGAGCTGCAAGAGGAGCCCCAGCCAGTGCAACCCCCAATGCCACTCCAGTAACCAATGGAGAGTCCCATACACAGATAACACCATAGGAAGCCCTGTTGTCCAGTCAGTTTATGGAGACCCTGGTGAATAGAGTGGCAGATGAAGTCTCCCGCCGGTTGGCACCGGCTCCAACACCACCTGTTCTGACATCTGATCTCCAGGAAGTCCCAGCTGGTCCTTTAGCCGATCATACAGCTCCTACCCCAGTGGATGCTTTGGCTAGGAATATAGTGCAGGGTAACCTGCAAAAGGAAGCTGCTGCCATCACGGGCCTGCCACAGCAGTCATCCCACACAACTGCCCCCCACATACCAGGTCAGTTATTCCAGTCAGTTAATTTGCCTGTCGACGCTCGCTTATCTGACAAGTTACGCACCAAGATTTGGGGTCAGGAATATGTTGACTTTGGCTCACTTCTCACAAACCAAGTTTTGGATAATCAATATCAAATAATCGTCCAAAATGCAGCGAGTGACACTGCCCCTTCTTTAGGTATTGAGCCTGTTACGAAGCCAAAAAAGATTACTTCTATAGAAGCTTGGATTAGCAGCTTCCATGTGTTTGTGGGTGTGTACACAAATAAATTTCCTCACGAGGCCCCTGCCCTCATGAAATATGGGGAAATTATACAGGATTTGGCAGTGAGGGGTCATAATTGGAAATTCTATGATGACAATTTTTGTTTTTTAAGACAAGCGCATGGCGCTTTGTTTCCCTGGGACAGGATCCATGGTGAATTATGGCTTAAGTCACAAAATGTTCTGCATAAAACCTCTCCACCGCAATTTTCTGCACCGCAGCGCACAAAGCCTGATTCCATCCCAAAGGGCTACTGTTTTCGTTTTCATAAAGGCCGCAAATGCCCTCAGGGTTGTGCTTTCAAGTATCTGCTATAGGTGTGAAGGGTCGCACGTGGTGACTAAGTGTAATTTTCGTGACTCGGCCAAACTCAACCATTCCCAGCCTCAAGCTGCCAAATCCTTTCTTACCCAGCCTTCCCACCCCAATAAAAGTTAATAGATTAGTTTTTCTTCTTGATGGGTACACACCTTCCACTGTTGAGTTTTTATTATCAGGTTTTACTAAGGGTTTTCTGGTACACTTTGAGGGTGAACGTACTTCGCAAACAGCAACAAATTTGTTATCAGCTCTTGAAAATCCTGAAGTGGTTGATGCTAAACTTGGGAAGAAGTTGGCGGCCCATCAGCTTGCTGGCCCTTTCTTATCCCCTCCACTGTCCCCATTTCGGATATCCCCTTTGGGCATTGTACCAAAGAAAGTTCCAGGTGAATTTAGGTTAATCCACCACTTGTCCTTTCCTAAAGGTTCATCAGTTAATGATGGCATATCCCCTGAGCACACCAGTGTTCGATATGCTACCATCGATGAAGCTATCAAACTGATTATGAAGGCCAAGGTTGTTTTTTGGCTAAGACAGACATTAAAAATGCTTTTTGAATCATCCCAATTCACCCAATTGATTATGGTCTGTTAGGTATGCAGTGGAGGGGTTTATATTACTATGACTGATGCATGCCCATGGGCTGTTCTTCTTCGTGTTTAACATTCGAAACATTCAGTACAGCGGTGACATAAGTTAAAGATAGATTATATATTACACCTGCTCGATGATTTTCTTTTAGTAGCTTCCTCCTCTCAACTTTGTAAGAAACGGCTAGATTTATTTTTATCTCTCTGTTCTTACCTCGGTATCCCAATGGCACCAGAAAAGACTTGTGGTCCGCCCACCACCATGTCTTTTGCGGGCATTGAATTAGACTCTATTCTTTTGGAGGCTCGTTTACCTCTTGAAAAAGTTGAAAAATGTAAGTCAAAGCTTCATTCTCCCAAATTGAACCTGTTCACAGATGCATCTGGTGCTATTGGTTTTGGCCCTATATTTGGACCACACTGGTGCTATGGTAAATGGCCTACCAATTGGGAGCATCTGAATATTGCCATTCTTGAGTTTTACCCCATTGTCTTAAGTCTGTACCTGTGGGGCGCGGCTATGAGCAATCAGTGTATCTTGTTTTTTACCGATAATGAATCCCTGGTCCACGTCATCAATAAGCAATCTTGTAAGGATAAGACCTTAATGGTCTTTGTCCGGCAACTTTTCAAAGCCAAACACATCCCAGGGATTCATAACAACCTAGCTGATGCTCTGTCTCGCTTGCAGGTGCAGACTTTCAGACAGCTGGCCCCAGTTCATATGGACCCCTTCCCGACAGAGATTCCCTTGCATCTTCAGCCTCAGAGCTGGGTTCTGTAGTAGGCATGCTTGCGAAATCTAGCCTCCAGCCTTCTTCCATCCCCACATATAGGCGAGCCTGGAAGTTGTTTTACCAGTTTTTAAATGCAATTTTTCACTCAGTTGTAACAGAGTTACCTATCTCACCCCATACATTGGCTCTTTTTATTGCTTATATGTATGACAACAACTATGCACCATCAACAGTTAGTTCGTATGTTTCAGCCCTAGGGTACTCTCACAGATTGCTCAGTTTCTCTGATCCTACGAAAGCCTTTTTCATAATCCAAATGCTCAAAGGCTATATTAAATTAGGTTCCCGTTTGGATAGTCGACTGCCAATTACACTTCCAATTCTCAACAGAATTATCACTATGAACTCAAAACCCATGAAAATCTTGTGAAATAATTCATTGTAAATTCACAGATTTTTCACAGGATTTTCATGGTTAAATCAATGACATTTTCATGGTCTCAGTGCCATGAAAAAGACCTGAAAAATCCCATGAGAAACCTGTGAAAATTTTCATATTCATGACCCATGAAATATTGAATAAAGTGATGGATGGTATATGGTAATTATGGGTAACGGACGTGCTTCATATCGCTGCTTGATTTTCTTTATTTTTTTTCACAGTTCTTTATATTATTTCAATTGAAAAACGACATATGGATTGCCTAAACATTTCCTCTTTGGATTATATTTGCAAGAATCATTGTTTGTATCCTAACAAGTGGATTTCTGCTGTATTACTACCTCGTTATTTAACAACTAATCGGCCTCGCTTTGTTTGTCTACGACCTAAAGGTTACAACACATCCAAAGTCAAATACTACGCTAACTCAACTACCACCTTCAACCAAGCTCGTCTTACTTTGGCTGGTGACGTTGCTTCTAACCCTGGTCCTGAAATGGGTTTCTTGTCGTCACAATTTGACTTTGGAGCAATTTCTCAACCGAAGGAAGATTTAATTATTCAAAACGAAGATTCTCAATGTTATTACATTCCAACCATTGTTTCTACGCATCGACGACCATCAAAGAAAATTTACTCAAGAAACATCAACAATATCATCTCTATCACACGCGTTGGCCATCTACCGAGAACCATTGCTTCTAACCCTGGTCCTGAAATGGGTTTCTTATTGTCACAATTTGACCTTGGAGCAATTTCTCAACCGAAGGAAGATTTAATTATTCAAAACGAAGATTCTCAATGTTATTACATTCCAACCATTGTTTCTACGCATCGACGACCATCAAAGAAAATTTACTCAAGAAACATCAACAATGTCATCTCTATCACACGCGTTGGCCATCTACCGAGAACCAAATCCACCAGTAATTTTGCTCTCCTCAATGTGCGTTCGATTGTTAAAAATCAACTCATTTATGCGATTTGGTCATCTCCCACCATTTAGACATCCTGGCCATAACAGAGACTTGGCTTAAAGGAACCGAGGATGACAACCATGTTATTACTGACATCAACAACATTCTTCCGCATTTTAAACTCCACCACATACCAAGAAGGAATCGTAAGGGCGGCGGAGTCGCTTTGTTGATACGAGATGGTTATACCGTACTGCAAAATTCCATCATGAACACAAGCTCATTTGAGTACTTAGATGTGAGCATATCCAACAAAAGTGAGACATTCCGTTTAATTGTTCTCTATCGCCCTCCTCTGTGCAAAAAGAACAACACTGGAAATAGCTTTTTTGCAAGAATTCTCATCTTTTCTTGAAGAACTTACATTATCAAGGCAGCCCATTATAATTGCCGGTGATTTTAACTACCATGTTGATGATCTATCAAATCCTGAAGCTGCCTCCTTTCTAAATCTCCTTGAGTCCACTGATCTAATTCAAAATGTATCTGGATCCACTCATCGCCTGGGCCACACATTGGACTTGATATTATCTCGTGAAGAGAATAATGTTATAACGGATGTTCGCATTCTATCAGCCGACAATATTTCAGATCATAATTTGGTTACTTGTAAGGTGAAATGTACAAAACCGAAACCTTCTACACTACATGTTAAACACAGAAACACCAAAAGGCTCGATTTAGCTAGTATGATCAAAGACATCGAAGAATCTAATCTCATTACTAATCCACAGTCTTGTTTAACTGAGCTGACTACACAATATAATACTAATCTCTCGTCCATCTTTGATCAACATGCTCCTGTGAACGAGAGATGGGTCACTCTGCGACCGCATTCTCCTTGGTATACTGATGAACTTCGTAAGGCTAAACAAGACAAACGTCGTCATGAAAGAAGATATATTTCATCTGGTCTTCAAATTCACCAAGAAATATTTATTGATTCCTGCAAACACTATAATGATCTTCTAACAGCGACAAAGACAAACTATTATCGGACTCTGATCAGCTCCTCTGACCAATCACAACTATTCAAGATGGTATCTCGCCTATTCTTATCGAAGAACATTGCTGCACTCCCTAATAATGATTCATTGGATACATTGACCGAAACGTTCAACGATTTTTTTATCAAAAAAATTGAGAAAATAAGATCGGATTTGGACTCCCATACTGCCCAAGCACCCGACATCAACGTCAATTATCCAGTCACCTCGTCGTTCCAAACTTTTCAACCTGTATCTGCTGATATTGTTCACAAACTTATTGTTCAATCTCCAACTAAGTCTTGTCAACTGGATCCCATTCCAACACGAATTCTAAAGTCAATTCCACACTTGACGCCAATTATAACCAAGATTATCAACGCCTCCATGGCTAACGGAGAATTTCCTGATCAGTTAAAACAATCCCTGGTATGTCCATCTTTAAAGAAGCCTTCATTGGACCCGAACTGTCTCTCAAATTACAGACCGATTGCAAATCTATCTTTTCTCTCAAAAACAATCGAAAGGGTGGTCGCAAATCAAATATACAGATTTATGGCCGAGAACCAGTTATTTCCAGCGATGCAGTCAGCATACCGCAAATACTACTCCACTGAAACTGCTTTAATAAAAGTCTCAAATGACATCCTAAGAGCTTTAGATCAAAAAGAAGAAGTAGTACTTGTTTTGCTAGACCTTTCCGCTGCGTTCGACACGATCGACCATAACATATTACTTGAAAGAATGGAGAAACGTTTCGGATTTAGAGGTATCGCACTAAAATGGTTCAAATCATACCTAGAACATCGTGTTCAGTCAGTGAAGATCAATCACTCTATCTCTAAGCCTCGACATATCTCCTACGGCGTACCCCAGGGATCAGTACTTGGTCCACTACTCTTTCTAATGTATACCTCGCCTACAGAAGACATTGTTGCTGAACATGGCCTAAACTGTATGATATATGCCGATGATTCGCAACTTTACATAAAGATAAACTCCTCTGACAGAATGCTAGGCATGGAAAGATTGAAATCATGTGTTAATGCAATCATGGAGTGGGCCAAGAAAAACAGATTGCAGTGCAACCCTTCAAAAACAGAAATCATTCATTTCCTCTCACGCTTCTCAAAAATCCTCCTTTCTGTAATATCAATATTGGAGATGATATCATTAATTTATCTAATACTGTCCGAGACCTAGGCGTCATGCTTGATTCTGTGATGAACTTACGCTCGCATATAAATTCCATCTGTAAATCGTCGTCTCTAGCAATCAGAAATATTGGTCGCGTTCGTAAATACCTCTCGACGCAGCAAAATGAAAGATTGATACACGCCTTTATCTCATCGAGACTTGATTATTGTAATAGCCTATTGTACGGTCTACCGATTTGTGACATCGAAAAATTCCAACGGATCCAAAACACAGCTGCCCGCTTGTTAGTCGGTGCCAAATCAAGAGACAGTATAACACCTATACTTAGGAAACTTCATTGGCTCCCGGTCACAAAACGAATTCAATTCAAGATACTGTTGATAACATACAAAGCACTAAATGACATGGCTCCAACCTATCTTGTTGAACTTCTTAGTCGATATATTCCAGCACGAAACCTCCGTTCATCAAATATGAATCTACTTGAGGTCCCAACAATTCGAACTAAAACGTATGGGCAAAGAGCATTCTCCTACGCAGCACCGTATTTGTGGAACCAACTACCTGAATGCATAAAAAACGCCGAATCTGTTGACTCCTTTAAACGCTTATTGAAAACTCATCTTTTCAAAAATTAAGCCACCAGATTATTTGATATCGTACGTTGTCAAACATATGCATAACACGTAATAATTCATTAGTTTAGATAGAGTAGCGAATTGCATGTATAGGATTTTTATCGAAATTTTGTTAATTTGTAATTGTAAAGCGCATAGAGTTCAATTTTAATGCGCTATATAAGAACTTATTATTAAATTAAATTAGAAGCCATGAAATACCCATGAAAATGGCATTTCATGGCCTTTTCAAAGGTACTGAGAAACCCATGAATTTCATGCCCAAAATTTCATGGTGTCAAAGTTCACTAGTTTTTAATGGGTTGCAGCAAATCATGACCCCGAATATCCTGCGAATAAGTAAAAAATTCATTGACCATGAAAATTTTCCTTGAATTTTCATGGCCTCTACATGGTTTTTTCATGGCACATGAAAGTTAATTGCCAGTTAGTTTTCATGGGGTTATTAGGAATATGCAAGCACCATGAAAATTCTTTGGAAACCCTATGAATTTGGAATTAAAAATTCTTCACTTTTCTTGTACCAAAGACTGTACTACAGTGTATAGCTTGCAGTATACCATAACTGTAATCGTAATTATCACTTATATTATACACTGAAGAACTAACCTCTCTGTGAAACTTCTTGGTCCTGTTGTACAAGCACACACACATGAAAGACATGACCAGAAGTCTGGATTCTCTGATAGTTTATTTTGTTTCACCGGCTGTACATAAATATTACTTTAGGATTCCAAAATTGTGATAATTCAGTTTACACTTTCTTAAATCAAAAAAGTTGGTATGAAATTTTCTGCATAAAATTAAGATGTTAATGATTTTTAGCTCTATTTTGATATCACTGATTTTCCTTGTGGAGACAGATTCTGCTCCTATATTTCTGTTTATTTAAACTATTTTGAAGGTATATTATAAATAAATTTAATGTGAAAAATATTTGGACGAAATTATTGAAAATATACTCACTGGTTTGATGTATTTTTGTCTAAACTTCAAATATCATTTCCTTCGTCTAATATCATGTGTAAAATGTTATGGACAGTTATTATAATGTCTATTTATGTAACAGCATTCATGTAAATTTCTTGATATGTTTTACACTTGTGATCAATACTCTCAAGGTAACTAACAACAAAACAATTACCAACTTTCTGCACTCTTGCATGTGTGAAGATATATCTATGGCTGACTATGTCAGTGTCTCTCTGTTTTGGCCACCTGAATGTGTCATCCTTCTTTCGGTTATCATTACTATTTGCATCTTCATCATCATTTGGACCAAGATAGGCTGCTTTGGCAAGTTAAAAGTTGAAATTAACAGGGGTCTTCGTTTTGTAGAAAAGCCCCCCTAAATCTACAAAACGAAGACCCTTGCTAAAACGCTTTGCCAGACCCCTGGGAAGGAAGAATCTATAATACGTTGCCGATTTCAACCGCCCGCGACAAAAAGGGGTGCATCAGTTGTCTAGACTGATGCGGTTTTAAATCGCAAGGGAGGCCAGCTTAGGGGGTGCAGGACTTGTACAGCATTAAAGTATTTTTGTAACACGAGGTATTTCACAATTTCTAGCTGATCTTAAGCTTCCCATTATGTAGTAATTTTACAGCATGTAGGAAATATTCAGTACTCTGCTTAATACTAGGAAAGTTACTAGAGATAGTAGCATTCACAATTTGTAGTGGCAGCAGCAACATTGGCTATTAGCCTGGAAATTTTACTTATTCTCAAAAAGGCAAAGGGAGTGAAATAAATAATTGAACTAACGTCATGGTTGATAATTTATGCCGTTCAGTAGCATAGCGTGATGATGCGACAATTTTAAAGACTTGGCTGTGACCTAATAGCAAAATGATTTAGTCTTAGGATAGGTGATAGAGAGCACATATTGTTTTTTTTCGTTGTTTTTGTTTTTTTGTGGGGGCGGCTAAAACAGTTCAAACGTTTCAGTGTATCAGTCAAAAAATAGGCCTGATTGTGTCAGAAAGCAGCTTCGGTTGTGATGGATCGCCAACTTTGTGACAAAAACACTTTGTCAGATGCCAATTGACGCAAAATCAAGGGGGTCTTCGTTTTGTAGAAAAGACTCCTTAAATCTACAAAACGAAGACCCTTAATTAAACGCTTTGTCAGACGCCAATTGACGCGAAATCAAGGGGGTCTTTGTTTTGTAGAAAACCCCCCTAAATCTACAAAACGAAGACCCTTGCTGAAACGCTTTGTCAGACCCCTGGGAAGGAAGAATCTATTATACATTGCCGATTTCAACCGCCCGCGACAAAAAAGTCTCCGTAAACCCAGGGAGGAAAAAGACAAAGGGAGTGAAATAAATATTTGAACTAATGTCATGGTTGATAATTTATGCCGTTCAGTAGCATAGCGTGAAGACTAACGTGACAATTTTAAAGACTTGGCTTTGACCTAATACTGTAGCAAAATGATTTAGTCTTAGGATAGGTGATAGAAAGCACATATTGTTTTTTTTTTTTTTGTGGGGGCGGATAAAACAGTTCAAACGTTTCAGTGTATCAGTCAAAAAATCGGCGCGATTGTGTCAGAAAGCAGCTTCGGTTGTGATGGATCGCCAACTTTTGGACAAAAACGCTTTGTCAGACGCCAATTGACGCGAAATAACTGGGGCTTTTGTTTTCCATTTAAAAAGAACCGTTTGGATTTAAAAAGTAAAGACCGTTGCTAAAACTGTTTGTGAGTAAACAAATAATTTAAAGCACTAAGGAAGACCGGGAGCATTATTTGGTCTTATTTGGGTCATAATTGAATGTCTTCATTTGAAAAACTCTTTTTAGTTGGAACTCTTGTTGCTCTCACTTGACTTGTAAATTTCTCACTTTTTAGTCCAGAACCCGAAAAAAGGTAATTTACATTTTACCGGAAGTACAAACTTTCAGAGCAATTAACTGACACAAGCCAAACATTTCTGGAGAATAAAAAAACACAAATGAAACAATTTTTAAAATTTCTAAACAGACAAATACCTTTTCTCTGCAAGCTATTGACGTTAACTTTAGTGCCAACACGTACAACGAAACTTTTTGCCGGCTGATTGCACTCTACAGACATAAAGCTCATGAAATCTAGCTGCTTTTCACCAACCATAAATGATTGACAGTTCTCGCCTTTTTGCGTTTTGCATTTTGGCAAAAGCCTGACTTACTGCCGGCCTGATTATTTCGCTCTTCTTTGGTTGAATTGCGGTCATATCAAAATGTGAGAGCGTTGAAGCCACAAACACGATGTCGAAGTTCCGAAAATTCGGACTTCCTCGACTTCTAGATGGAACATCACCCGGACAACCAAAGCCCAAAGTTGAGGGCAGTGATGGAATACCGTAGTTCGACTGCAACAAGCTAGTTATCAAAGATCGCATTGGCCACGGCGCATTTGGCGATGTCTTTACTGCCGATTAGGTGCCAGGTAAGGACAGTAAAGAGACGGTAGTTATATAAAAAATGATTAACGTCATGGATGCAGAAGAAAAAAAACTCTTCTTAAAAGAAGTAGCTTTATTAAGTGGCCTTAACCATCCCAATGTGGTGAAGTTTATGTCCGTTTGTCACAAACCTCCAGCCATGATGCTAGAATACGTTTACTTTGATTTCAATTTGTTTGGCCTAGACAAACGCGTGAGTACACTGTCCGATTTTCTGATAAAAATCGACGAGTAGGACAGTGCTGTTTATCAAGAAATGGTTTCTCATGCAGCCACAGAGATAATAAGTGGCCTAGCGTATCTGCACCAAACAGGAATCGCCCACAGAGACCTCAAAACGGCGAACATTTTAGTGAGCAACCAACACTACTGCTCTATGTCAGTAAAGTCGCGTGATTTACATGAAAGTTATCGTGAAAGGCCGATTGCTTGCAAGCTGACTGATTTTGGTGAAAGTCGGTCACTATTCGTTCAGCCGCAGCAACTCTAAAGCTCTAAGACCACCACTGTTGATCGAGGGACAGTGGTCTACATGTCACAAGAGCTTCTGGTTGAAGAAAAGCGCTTAACAAAGGCTTCTATCGCAGATCTAATGATGGCAGACGTTTGGGCCCTGGGTATGGTTATCTTTATGCTGCTTAACCCAAGCCTTAAAAGTCCTTACATCTTAGAAATGAGATCAGAAGGTGTAAGGAATCAAGAGCAGCTGAAGAAGTTCATCACGGAACTTTTACGGAAAGAGAAACTACCACAACACGATGAAAAGTACGACGTCGATCGTGCTACTGTTTGGTTTGCTTTAGAGGAAGTCTGTCGAGGTTGCCTTAATTTTAACAGAGACAAACGCTTCTCCCTACAAGAGGCAGCCCATCTATTAGCTAGGCGTCAGGAGAGATTTTCAATGGACTTTCAGGTCATTAACCTTAGGGTTAGCCAGGCAACCGCTCTTGAGCAGTTTGATCAAAAGGCGGCTGAAGAGCTCCAAGAGCAGGCGAAGTCCTTACAATCCAACAAGATGCCCATAAACAATGGAACCAACGCGTACGCATTCCTGTGCATTGGTGTTGCAGAAAACATTCTCCAGGAAATCAAAACCAAAATCTTCTTCGAAAATTTGCCGACAGCCGTGGAATCCATCATATGGTCATTACCAGAGAAAATAAACGAACACCACGACCTGGGAAAGTACTACAATGCCCTAGAAGCATATGAAATTCTTCGACGTCGAGAATTAATCAAATCTCCGTTAGAATTCTTTGAGGAACTACCATACGCATACGGTGCTTTTACGAAAGAAGGACGAGAAAAACTGTTTTCAAAGCTTTGTTCTTGGTGCTGATTGCTTCGTTGCAGTTTACACGAGTGATCCACTTGTCATGACTATTGGGTGTCATAACAGCAAACCTTACGTCATCGATACACATCCAATTGCACCACCAGCAGGGAATGGAAATGGTCCTGTTCTAGTAGGTAACAACAACACCCCCGAGGTTTGGATGTCTATCTGTGTGTGGCTCTGGCAAAGACTACACCACGGCGGAGATAGTCCCACCATCTTCACATGTGAAAATAACATGTTATTTTCGCGTGTGAAGATATGTTTTCGCGTGAAAGCTCACCTGGTATTTCACTGCTGTTTATATAATAAATATATTTATTTTTCCACTGTTGCGCCATTTCATCATACTTTGGTCAAGAGAACGCGCAAAATCTATATATCGTTTTAGACGTTTTGGCTGAGTATTTTTACGAGTCATGCTGTATTTTTTTTATTTTAAGGCTGCGATAGTACGCGCGGTCTGATTGGTTAATTATTGGTTCGTAATTTCCCGGTAAACGACCACGGGCATTACAGATTTTTCCCGCCACGGTTTTGTTTAAAAAAACATAGCGAGCTTAGTGACTTGAATCGCTGAAAGAAACTTCTTAAAAAGTAGGAAAATCAACAATACACATATCTCTTTATTTTCAGCTTGCATTTCTTTCGAAAATCTTGAAAGAAAGTTTTGTTTAACACGTACACTCCCGCTATATTTTGCTGCGTTTTGGCGAATTCTGTGAAGAGTAACCGTTGCTGTAACTGTAAAATGTCAACAACATAAAACAACAGCGACGGTGTTATAAAACGGCAAAGAAAGGTCTTAAAGTTTGATGCGTGCGCAATAATAATAATAATGTGATTTGTAACTTTAAGGCACGGCTCTTAGACCACTGTTTAGTGATAAGGATTTCCGTTGGTAAATAACGTTTCTATCTATCTATCTATCTATCTATCTATCTATCTATCTAGCTAGCTAGCTAGCTATCTATCTATCTAAAAACCCAACAAAGTGTAGCAATGCTTAATGTCATTTCCTAATCAATAAATTGGTTTAACCGGGAAGTAAAATACAATACAAGAATACTGGAATAATAAATCCCTTATTAGATGGATTAAGAAATAATACGTGCGGTCATTTTGCTCGTTGCTCGCAAAATATCTGCGCGTATTATGTTTTAAACTATCCATTGAGGTGTATATATTTATCCCAAGCCTTGATCAATACAGCCAAAAAGCTTAGTAGACTGCTTTAAGTCTGTTTATCTCTTGAATCTTAAAAAATGCGATCTCAGTTTTGATTATGCAGAATTAGTTCACCAAAATAACTCAATTACACCCTGTTTGTAAAGTGTTTCTAAACCAGGAACCGAAGGACTGTTTACCACTGGTGATGAAGCAAACAAGGAACCCGAGGTAGGAATGTACTGAAGAAGTATTTAGAAGTAACGCACTTAAAGATATACATGAAAAAATTACTTAATTGATTGGCTAAAAAAGGAGTGCAGCTTTCCTGTAACACCAGTGCAAAAATGTGTTACACCAGTACAAAAATGTGTAACACCAGTGCAAACTACAAAGTAATCACATGACCATATCATGGGCTCGGGTACAGCTAACTGCAATTTTCTTAAGCGAATAAATGTCTTTTTTTAGCAAACCAAGAAAAGACAGATGAACTCTTCCGCCCAAAGACAAAAAGAAACCGAAGAAAGGAACGACGAAAGACCTTCAGGAGGCGAAAAGGTAAATGTTAAAGATAACGTTGTCCTGAGTTTTCTACAAGTGCTTTGATAGATGGAGAGGAAAGTGAAAGAACTCAGAGATAACTGAACTTATCTACGCAGTGCAATATCCAGTGTGAGTTCTTTTAACACTTTGAAGACTATTCTACAGCAAGAAAATTCTACTCAACTACAGAAGCAGCAAACGTTCTAAACTTTCTCTATAGCTGCACTTTTTTCAAGCCAATTAATGTCTACTTTTTTAGAAAACCAAGCAGAGAGGTGCATGCTGCCGCCCAAAGACAAAAGGAATCCGAAAAAAGGAACGAGGAAGGACCTTCAGGAGGTGAAAAAAAAGGATAAAGTTAAAGATACTCGTTGTCCTAACACTTTTTTCAGAAGTCCAACTTCGCAAATAGATGGTTAGAGATGAATTTGAAAAAAATTGGAGATAACTGACTATACCTACAACGTTGTGAAAATCCCCATAGATGGTTGACTGCAGTGTAAATATTTAAACACATGCAGTGTAAATATTTAAACACATGCAAGACCACGTAACCCTTTTATCCGACTTGATAATTCTACCAAACAACTACACAAGTGGTAAACCACATAAACTTTCTCTAATTGCATTTTTCTCAAGAGAATGTCTTCTTTTCAGCAAACCGGGCAAAGAGAGAAGGACGCTTCCGCCCAAAGACAAAAGGAAACCGAAAAAAGGAGAGACGAAAGACCTTTAGGAGGCGAAAAGGTAAAGGTTAAAAGATAGATGGAGATGAAAGTGAAAAAAACTCAGAGATAACTGACCATACCTCCACATTGCAATCTCCAGTGTGAGTTCTTCAGCACGTTCAAGACAACGTGACCCTTTCTCAACGTAGATAATTATCCCAAACAATTACACCAATAGAAAATGATATAAATGTTCTCTAACTGCAATTTTCTCAAGCGAATTAATGTCCTTTTTTCAGCAAACCAAGCAAAGACAGATGGACTCTGCCGCCCAAAGACAAAAAGAATCCGAAAAAAGGAACGACAAAAGACCTTCAGGAGGCAAAAAAGGTAAAACTAAAAGAAAACGTTGTTTTGAGTCGTTTTTTCCAGTGCTTCGATGGCTAGGCTACAAAATGGCGTCTGCCATGCCTGATCCGAACAAAAACATGATTAATTTCATTTTATTGTGGTAAGCATAATCTATAAAGGCCTAACCACGGAACCCTTTCTCCGGCTAGATGATTATATGAAGCAACTACTCAAATAGCAGAGGATATAAACTTTTTTCTAACTGCAATTTAGCAAATGCATTTCTCTATTCTTTTTCAGCAAACCAAGAGAAGAGAAATAGAGAGTAATGGTAAGAGAGACGAAGAAAACCGAAAAAGCCAAGATGAAAGCCCTTCATGTAGCGAAAAGGTATATAAACTAAATACAGACATCCAAGCAGACAAACAAGTAGGCAGCTAGTCTGAGGGGTACTTCGGTGGGTCGGTAAGTAGGCAGGCAGGCTAACAGGAAAGTGTGTAGGTATGTAGTAGGTATGTAGTAGGTACGTAGGTAGGTAGGTAGGTAGGTAGGTTAAAGCTATTAGGTAGTTAGGAAAGAAATCATCGAGTAGATGTTTGGGAGGGACTTTAAATGTTCGTAGCGTTCAATTGCAAAAATGGCAATTGCCAAAACTGGTATTTGAAAGAGAGGAAATATGCAAGAGATTTGTAAGAGAATGTTATAAGAATAGTACTGGGCAACAAAAGAACAAGTTGGGAGACTCCCAGGATGTTCTTTTCTTAAATATCTTAGGACGACATAAGACAGGTAGAGCTCAACTTTGACATAAATAAACAGTTTGGCAGGAACTTTGCACGCAACGTTTGACAGGCTAAAGATGTAATTATTCAATGTCTTTTTATTTAGAGGCGACATGATGATTTGTTTACGGTGGATTCGCGTTCCTCAGAGCAATATATGGCAGGTGCCTGTGACTCTGAAAACAGCGACGATAACACGACATCTTCCTCCGATGAGGTATGGTAAATTTCTTAATTGGCAACTTATGAAGTCTTTCTTGTAGTGTAGTGAAAGCACTTTAATCTGGTATATTGTTAGCTGGACTACGGAGATGCTCTGCCTTCCATATCTGAGGCGAATTTTCACGAAGATTTTTGAAGGTGAACCCGACGTTCAGAGATCAACTCGCCTTTAACCATTCCCGTATTTGGCATGATTAATTTTAAATACTTTGCTGTTGATTTATATACTGTAAGCCTCTCCTAAGTCAAAAGATCGAATGCACGCCAGAATAATTACTCTCGCGTTAGTAATTGGTCGAAATCATAGCCTGTATTTTGCGAGCGAGCACCGGGAATAGAGTTTTAGATAAATATATTAGAAAACTTTTTAAATGAAAACGATGCTATTTGTTTCCTTTTGAAACAATGATAATATTGTTTGAACAACAGACATTTTGAATTTGCTAGAAAAGAGGCATTTAAACTCCAGGGTCTGTAGACCTGCTTTGGTCAAGTTGTTTGCAACTGTGTTTGGAGTGAAGGTCTAAACTGAACCGTTTAATAATGTTATTTTATGCATTCAGCACCAAGTCCAGGATAACATGTACTAACACAGAGGACGACGTCAAAGAGCTATTGAAGTACACACGCGACAAGGGTGACCTGCTTCTACACCACGCCGACTTCCCTGAAGATCGATGGGCATTTGGGACTTCCACCATGTGCTCTGACCTGTTGAAGTACACGACTTCCGATCTGCTGTCTTACCCGTTTTGTGTGGACCCAACGTTCAAAATGGGAGGATTTGAGGTAACTCCTGTGGTATACAAGTACCTTCTTTTAAGATCTAAAAGGACAAAAGAGAGTCCTGTTTTCTTAGGCCCTACCATGATTCACCACAAGAAGACTTATGAAGCCTACAGAACTTTGGCAGCAACATGTGCTGCAAAATGCAAGGCGCTGTCAAAAGCTAAAGGTTTCATAACTGATGGCGAGGAAGCCCTTTCTAGAGCCTTTGAAGACGAGCTGAAAAACACAAGAAGTTTACGTTGTTTCAAACACTTTGAAACAAACTGCAAAGAACGTTTCTTCATGCAACGCGTATTTGGGGTTCCTGAAAAAGAGGACGGCATTCTAGATGCAGCTGACAGAGAGGATTTGCGAAAACGCTTGGACTCTGCAAAGACTGCAGTTGAAAAAAGAGAGAGGGAGGTGCTCAAGAGGAAAGACGAGACATTTAGGCCTAAGTTTTGGTCGTATCTCAACGAACGGTTCGGGATGATGGCTAGCCACATGGTGGCAAGTATTCACAATGAAGCTGGAATGGTGTTGGGAGACAACGGCAAACCAGTGCGTTGTTATACGAATAATTCGGAATCCATGAATAACGTCACGCGAGCTGCAAAAGAAACGTACCTAAAGGGAAATCCATGTGTATCACAGCTGAACAAGTTCCAGTTTACGAAGAATGTGTTCGAGGTTGTGTATGCCCACCAGATGGAAGAAACCAGAAAGATGTGCCGTGGCTGGAGTTGGAAACCATTGATATTGACGCAGAATTTAGGCCCTTAGGAGATGACATCGTAACCGAACTGGTCGACCGTCATGGCTATTCTAACGAAAGTGCAAAAACATTAGAAAAAGAAGTTCTTTATCTTCTGAACCACCCCACTGCCATCCAGAGAAAAGCAAGTCTGCAAACCGAGGGAGTAGTTCAATTTGAAGTTGCAAGTACAGGGGCCAAGAATGGAACAGTGCAGGTCTCTGTTTACAGGGATCATGCAACTTGTGTTTGTGGAAGGTATAAGTATGATAAAATCTGCAAGCACTCCCTAGCAGTAGCCGCCTCCAAAGCAAATCTGACGGAACATCTAAATTTTGTCAGGAGTGAATCAGGTCAAGTTCGTAAAAGAACAGCTCTTGCAGAGCACGATGTCCAAAAAGCAACGGCGGGAAAGAAGGGTGGAAGGAACAAGTATGGCTATCGACCTGCGAGGGGCAAGGCACAGCCAAGCTCGAGTGCATCTGCGCAAACAGGGCCTTTGTACTCCGAGATACACCACAATGAAAATCCATTTGAGTTGGTGTTTCCTGTGGAAAGTGTGAAGAGGTGCAAATCGTGTCATCTCGATTTTTGTCATAGAAAGGTCATTCCATTCGATGTTATCTTCTCTCACAAAGAGCGATGGATGTATCCCGTCAATGGAGATTGGTCGAATTGCAGGCCATCTCAACGGGAGACAGTCCGATTCATGCCTCGATGAAGTGCCTGCTAACAAGATTTCCATACTTCACTGCCGATTACTTTAGCATTCCCAGTGACGTCAAAGAAAGTCTTCGAGACTCCCACAAAAGTTATCTTGCAAACGAGTTTGGGCTAACCTTTGATTAAATTTTCCTTTTTATCTAGGGTAGGTCCCACTGTATATGCATCGGGGTTGAGCACATCTGAGCAAACAAAGATTGATTGATAGTTTGCATGTGCATGTTCACTATATTCATAGTAAACATTCCACGGGTAATCTTGTACTTTTTATACGATTGGAATGTATTGTGTCGCCAGCTGTCATGGTGTCACCGGTTATGTGAATTTATATTGAAAGACGATGTCTACAAATTTTAATTTTGATTAGTTTGATTCGAGTATTTTATGAAAGTTATTATTGACTCTGAGCTCACCCCCCTGCATAGGCGGATCATGACTAAAACACCACACGAGTACTATGAGTAACATACGGGTAACATACGAGTAACATAAGATTAGCATACGGAGCATACGAGTAGATACGGACACATAAGACTAACATACGACTAGCATACGGATACATACGACTTAACATACGGATACATACGAATACATACGAGTACCAGATGAACAGGTTTAAGTGATACGAATGTTTTTCTTATAAATAAAGCAAGAATTATCAGCCATACAAACATTTTTCATACAAGCAAACTACTATCCGGTACATTTGGTGGGGGGGAGAGAGGGGACAGGTTTGATAGACCCCCAAGGTTTTCTTTAAATTTAGTCGCATTAACATAAATTCACATGGAGTAGAAACCTTTATCTTGCTCTGCAGATGATATAACGACTTTTTGACAGCTTTAAGAGCTTTGTAATTCCTGACATTTCGATGCGAAATATCCAGACGCCTCGGACCCTCCGACGTGAATTGTGTAATTGTGTGTGTATGTGTGGGGGAGAGGGGGTTGGACGCCACCCCCTCAGGATTTTGTAAATAGCGGGAGAAAGGGTTGGATGCCACCCCTCTCAGGTTTTGCAAATTTTGGAAAGGAGATTTACTCTATGCTGTTGATGCATTGCTTGCGGAAATTTTGATGTGTCAACTGTTCCCAAAATTCGACATATTAAACGTAATTGCTTTAGTTTCGAACAAGAAATTACAAAATTAATCCTTTTTTAGACGCACATTGATTTTGCATTGATTTTTTTGCCATTTCTCATAACCAATCTAAGCTGAATTAGTGAGATCAAGATGGTGGATCCGATAACGTCATACGACGTCAGCGCCATCGAAAAATTATGTCATCTTGTAAGGCAAGCTAAAGGTTTTCCACTCCATGTGAATTTATTTTACTGCAACTAAATTGAACCTTGGAGAATCCATCAAACCTCCCCCCTCCTGATTAGTGCTTTCTTTAGATGGAAAACATTCATATCACTGAAACCTGTTCGTCCGGTACTAGCTTGTATGTATTCGTATGTACTCGTATGTATGCGTATGTATCAGTATGTTAGTCGTATTTCAGTCGTATGTTAGTCGTATGTATCCGTATGTACCCGTATGTTCCGTATGTTACTCGTATGTTACTCGTATGTTACCCGTATGTTACTCGTAGTACTTGTGTGGTGTTTTAGTCATGATCTAATAAAGAGTTTAGTAACTGTGGTTATCTTGCCTGTAATCTCATAAATAGAAGCAGTGATACCGAGGTTTCTGTACGCTGTGCCACAAATTTTATCGCTTCCAGACAAGGATTATAAACAAGGAGACACTGGGAAAATTACATATATTTTGTAAAGGAAGTTTAGTGACTCAAAACTGATCTTTCATAATATAATTGGCGGAATAGGCCTTATACATTTGGTTATGTGCTCATATTTCTCTAAGCTTTTCTGCCAAATTTTGTAGGCGAGCTTGTAAAACGAGACACTCCGAGGGAAAAATAAGTACCATTTTTTTCTCCTGTAGTTGCTGTTTATAGAATGATAGCCCTGTAAATGAAGGAAGCAGTCATTTTTTCCAGTATGAATTAGTTCCTCGTATATACTAGCTTATGTCATTAGTGAGGAGAACACCCGTGCCTGTCTACATCAGTACAAATATGTTACAGGGAATTTTAATTTCAAACTGCAGTTAGATAATTAGCACATTGTTGTTTACTTTGGTTTTGTTAATGTTCTTTAAATAGAAATCAAGATATAACAGTTTGTTAATTCTATCAGGGATTGAAGACATTTTCCATGTGTGTAGTTTCTATAATTCCAGAATTGAATAGCCACAAATAAACAATATTTGATTCGTTTTGCATATTCACACGGTCCTTTATACAAATGAAACAAAGACCAAATGATTTCGCATCAATTGGTGTCTGACAAAGTGCTTTAGCGAGGGCCTTCATTTTGTAAATTCAGGGGGTCTTTTCTACAAAACGAAGACCCCTTGATTTCGCGTCAATTGACGTCTGACAAAGCGTTTTAGTAAGGGTCTTCCTTTTGTAGATTCAGGGGTTCTTTTCTACAAAACAAAGACCCCCTTGATTTCGCGTCTATTGACGTCTGACAAAGCGTTTAAGTGAGGGTCTTCGTTTTGTGGATTTAGGGGGTCTTTTCTACAAAACGAAGACCCCCTTGATTTCGCGTCTATTGGCGTCTGACAAAGCGTTTAAGTGAGGGTCTTCGTTTTGTAGATTCAGGGGGTCTTTTCTGCAAAACAAAGACCCCTTGATTTCGCGTCTATTGGCGTCTAACAAAGCGTTTAAGTGAGGGTCTTCGTTTTCTAGATTTAGGGGGGCTTTTCTACAAAACGAAGACCCCCTTGAGTTTGCGTCTATTGGCGTCTGACAAAGCGTTTCCGTAAGGGTCTTCATTTTGTGGATTCAGGGGGTCTTTTCTACAAAACGAAGACCCCCCTTGATTTCGCGTCTATTGGCGTCTGACAAAGCGTTTTAGTAAGGGTCTTCGTTTTGTAGATTCAGGGGGTCTTTTCTACAAAACGAAGACCCCTTGATTTCGCGTCAATTGGCGTCTGACAAAGCATTTAAGTAAGGGTCTTCGTTTTGTAGATTCAGGGGGTCTTTTCTACAAAACGAAGACCCCCTTGATTTTGCGTCTATTGGCGTCTGACAAAGCGTTTTAGAAAGGGTCTTCGTTTTGTAGATTCAGGGGGTCTTTTCTACAAAACGAAGACCCTCTTGATTTTGCGTCTATTGACGTCTGACAAAGCGTTTTAGTAAGGGTCTTCGTTTTGTAGATTCAGGGGGTCTTTTCTACAAAATGAAGACCCCCTTGATTTTGCGTCTATTGGCGTCTGACAAAGCGTTTTAGAAAGGGTCTTCGTTTTGTAGATTCAGGGGGTCTTTTCTACAAAACGAAGACCCTCTTGATTTTGCGTCTATTGACGTCTGACAAAGCGTTTTAGTAAGGGTCTTCGTTTTGTAGATTCAGGGGGTCTTTTCTACAAAACGAAGACCCCCTTGATTTCGCGTCAATTGGCGTCTGACAAAGCATTTAAGTGAGGGTCTTCGTTTTGTAGATTCAGGGGGTCTTTCCTGCAAAATGAAGACCCCCTTGATTTCGCATCTATTGGCGTCTGACAAAGCGTTTTAGTAAGGGTCTTTGTTTTGTAGATTCAGGGGGGCTTTTCTGCAAAACGAAGACCCCCTTCATTTCGCGTCAATTGGCGTCTGACAAAGTGTTTTTGTCAAAAAGTTGGTGATCCATCACAACTGAAGCTGCTTTCTGACACAATCAGGCCTATTTTTTGACTGATACACTGAAACGTTTGAACTGTTTTAGCCACCCCCACAAAAAAAAAACAACAACAAAAACAATATGTGCTTTCTATCACCTATCCTAAGACTAAATCATTTTTCTATTAGGTCACAGCCAAGTCTTTAAAATTGTCGCATCATCACGCTATGCTACTGAACGGCATAAATTATCAACCATGACGTTAGTTCAAATATTTATTTCACTCCCTTTGCCTTTTTGAGAATAAGTAAAATTGCCAGGCTAATAGCCAATGCTGCTGCTGCCACTACAAATTGTGAATGCTACTATCTCTAGTAACTTTCCTAGTATTAAGCAGAGTACTGAATATTTCCTACATGCTGTAAAATTACTACATAATGGGAAGCTTAAGATCAGCTAGAAATTGTGAAATACCTCGTGTTACAAAAATACTTTAATGCTGTACAAGTCCTGCACCCCCTAAGCTGGCCTCCTTTGCGATTTAAAACCGCATCAGTCAAGACAACTGATGCACCCCTTTTTGTTGCGCACAGTATAATAGATTCTTCCTTCCCAGGGGTCTGGCAAAGCGTTTTAACAAGGGTCTTTGTTTTGTAGATTTAGAGGGACTTTTCTACAAAACGAAGACCCCTGTTAATTTCACATTGGTTTGTGCTGAGGAACGCTTTGGGTTGGTTTTTAACTGTCCGTGCCTTATTCGGGCAAAAAAATTAGGGTCCTCGTTTTTCCGTCTTCAGTCTTCGGTCTTCGTTTTGTCGACACCCTTTGGTAGTTGGCTTTCATCGAAAGAAACAGAATGTACAGGGTGGTACGATACTCTTAATCCTGTTTTTACAGAGGGGGTGGATGAATTTACCGATGTAGCTTGTTCTGCTGGTGACATAGCTGAAGAAAGGTCTTTTACCTCTGTTGTATCAGTGCATGCAAGCTCTGGAGAAGAAGAAATGGATCACTCCTCTAGCAGTGATGAAAGCAGTGAGGAAAGATCAACAACACCACTCTCAGTCCCTGAAGGAGACTACAAGCTTGAGGTACATCATGGCGGTGACAAAAGATGAAAGCAATAAGGAGGAAATGAAAAAGGAGAAAAAAGTGTCTAAAAAGCCCAAGATAGGACTGCATCCTAAGTGGGACATAAAAACTAAGACCCAGACAGCAGCAGTACTTCAGCTGTGTAAAACCATGGAAACATATTCGCAGAGTGCAAACCACACTCAAGATGAAAGGTTGAACAGGATTTTGGAAGCAGACCGAAAACATGATGAAATGTTCTTGAAATTTCAACAAGAACAGGCAGAAGCAAATAGGCGACATGAACAACTGATGATTAGTCAAAGCCTACCACTGACCTCACAGTAGTATTACCCCTTCCAGGAGCAGAAACCCCACAATCCATCCTTGCTGGCCTTTACATCTGCAACACCATATGTCTCTCCTCAGCATGGCTTGTATAGTATGCCTTCAGAGACTGATTCCAAAGGTTACTATTCTTCAACAAGCCCTGGTAGCACATCTGACTACACTCAGTTAAATTAAGTAAACCAACTCCAAGTGAGCTTTTACAGTATATGTCACTGTTACTTCATTGCCTTGTTAACTTTTTATACTTTGCCTTCGCTACAAAAAAAACTAGCTTGCAAGTTTAATGATAAGATTGCTATATTAAAAGGACTGTTTTTCCAACTCCTACTTATAAAAGGAACTTTATTGATCATTCACAAGTTGTGTTACAAATGTTCTACCAGGTATTGTAAACAATTCTAGCACTACGTTTGAGTAGCTTTCTAGGTAAAGACGAACATGGCTTCTAACTTTTACCTGTTTTAGAGGGGAAGGTTTTCACTCATTTAAGGTAAAACTACTGTTCCATTAAAACTTGAAATTCCATTTGAATAAAGCCTTATTCCAGTTTAGCAATAGTGTTGATCACTGAACTTTTAAACTCCTTTCTGGGAGCTGAAGATAGTTCTTGATGTTTGCTAATGCAAAAAGACAATGAATGATTTCTCCACTTCATAGTGTCCAGGGTAAGTTAATTTCAATCAGTGATAAATGGATATTATGTTCACAATTTTTCTTGGCAACAATGTTTAATAAAAACCAGTTTCAGCTGAGAGGTTTTGTGATCTCCAGATAAATCATTAAGTTCTTGATAAATATTGCTAACAATTAACTCACCCTTGAATATTTCTGGATATCACTTAACCACAAAGATTTTATACATTTACAATTCCTGCTGAACACTAAATCATGCACTGAAATATCTCATTGTGAAACTTCAAACACTGTAAATTACTGAAGTGTTACAGGTAGCACCATTTCCATGCTATATTGGCAAATGTTAGTTTTCAGTCAACATTTATTAACAAAAGAATAAGGAATGTATCCTTACTTAGTTAACAACAACATAAACATGGAGATTAACCTTTGAATGAACTTATTCCTGCTTTGAACTACAACATCCATGTGAATAAAGTGATACTTGTAACTGTTAGAATGGTTGCCATGTCTATGATAATGACCACAGCCAGTCAACTACCTTCTTCCTGATTCTTCAAACTTCATTTTTATCACGTATACCATGGCGTCTTCCACGAATGGGGTTAAGCTCTTGCATGTCCAACCTCCACCGTCTCTTGCATGGATCATTCACGTGTATACAAATGTTATGTAATGTTATGCCACACATAATGATACGCTTTATGTTCTTCTTATTGCAATCCACTTTTTTGTAAAGCAGTCGCCATCGCCCTTTAAGCATACCATATGCGTGTTCAGACACAACTCGAGCAGATCTTAACTTTTTGTTAAAATAAATTTCTGCTGGGTCTCCAGTAGTGTCAGGAAAAGCTTTCATTAGCCATACACGAGATGGAAAAGCACTGTCATCCACAGTCACAAAGGGGATTTCTCCATGCTCAGGGAGATGTAACGATTTACTGGGCAACACTTTCCCTTCTTCAAATGCATGGAAAAAAGGACAGGATTGCAAAAGGGTGGAATCATGGAGCCCAGAGCACCTACCCCTGTCCACAAAAAGCGTTTGTTATGCCCTATCAGCCCCATATTGGTTACGGAGTATCCTTTCTTGAAACTAAAGAAATTTTTTCAAGTTAGAACTTATATACACATGAAAACCATCCAAGCTTCGTCTTCAGAACTTGTGGTCAGCGGATTCAAATTGCTTTAAGTAAGTCTCCCTAAAATAACCAACATCAAACCAGCGATCCATCGAACCATCGAACCATCGAACCATGGATCCATCGAACCAACAATCCATCGAACCAACAATCCATCGATCCATCGATCCATCAAACCATCGAACCAGCAAACCAGCAAACCACTGATCCATCGAACCAATGATCCATTGAACCAAAGATCCATCAAACCAAAGATCCATCGAACCAATGATCCATCGAACCAGTGAACCAGCGATCCATCGAACCACCGAACCTTTAAACCAGAGAGTAACGTTGCCTGTAAGGGATTTGAACCCATGACCTCTGCGATACTGGTGCAGACCTGCATACCTGCACCGGTATCGCAGAGGTCAATTATCAATTATCTGGACTATTTACCCTAGTCCCACCGAGTCTGAATAATCGAGGTTTGACTGTACTGACACAATTTTCATTTAAATGATTATATTTGTTAGTGTTCATCTCAGGAAAGCCTCTTGGAAGGTGTTGATGTTGCCATACCCATATTCCATTGCTATGGGCACAAGGCATCATGCCAGGTTAGTATATATCAGTTTAAAAGTACCTTAACATTGGTTAAATTCAGTTGTAATAATAAACATCCCATACTTACCTACCAATGGGTGAGCAGTGTGGGATCAGAAATCTGATAGCAGTTTCCAAAATTGAAAGCAAATGATCTGCAAGGGTCAGCTAGGAAGCAAGGCAAGGCAAGCAACCAAGGTAAAATATTTAAGCACATGTACATGTTCCTTATAAAAGAGTGGCCACCCTACCTGAGCCTATCAGCTTTGGAAACGACCACCAGCCAGTGAGCCTTTATTCGAGGTTAATTTTACCTAAAATGAAAATTACATTTTTAAGTATTTAGCCTGCAGTGCAGGTGGTTTTGCTGGTTGTCATCTTTTGAGTGTTTGTTTTACTGGAAAGTTGGGGCGAGAATGCAATGCGGGAGGTCTCATGCCTACTGGCTTGGTAAACATTCTTTTTGCTCCAACTCTCCACCGTTTTCCTAATTCAAGATGGTGCTTTGAACACTCGATTTGGAAATATTCATTCACACTGCTAAAATCTGCATAGGTTTTCCTCTGTCACTAAAGAAATGAGTGCTCACAAGGGACTGATGTTTTGACTGATGGGCTTCTTCACTATGCCCAACATTTGTATCACAAATTTGGTATGGTTAATTTTATTGAACACATAACTTTCACATTTCTGTGGGTTTTGCTGAAAAGTAAAAGGAATATCAACTATTGACCAGCTTTATCTACCCTGTGTTTTCTGTCATAGTTGCAATTCTTCATTTTTTAAATATGGACGTGTGTTAAGATGTAAGTTGAGGTTGATTAGTCTTATTAGCACACATTAAACTGATTCCTTTTAATGTTCACAGGTGTTACTCTAAAACCAAAGTTTGCAAGGGCAGAAACTCTTCTACAGGATGTCAGTGCAAAGCTTGAGGAACTCACTGAAAAACTTCTAGGTATACATTTGAAACCATTTTGTTTACTCATTGCATTGAAAAACAGCACAATGACTTATATGCATGCTACATGATTATTGCAGTACATGTATTTACCTGTACTAGGTTGTGATGATGGTGTGATACAAGAGTGGCAAAAGGAAGAAGTTGAAGCTCTGAAAGCAAAAGAACACGGTAGTTTTATTCCTCAGCATTTATTAACAATCAGTAGGGAAAAGTTTTTTTGTAGTCACTAATATATTATTAATCTGTCACAGGATTAATACTGCAGTGGGACGAATCATATGTCAGCTTGCTCCTCATGTCTGAAAAACTCAGGTATATAGTGCGTGGAAGTACCACCTACCAAATTATTCATGATTTACATTAGCGAGTACCTGAGCTTTTCGAAAGTGATTAAACTTGTAAAAGGCGAAATTCCTACCTAACCAACTGTTGTAGTGGACTACGTGAAACTAATCCTTTAGTTGATTCATGGCATTACCTAATCCTTTGTGACTTCGGCTTAAATAGAGCTGTTTTGTAAAGCTTTCTTCGGTCCGGTCAAGTCAGGTAAAAAACCAGTCAGCTCAGTGGTACTTAATAAATCTACTTTAGAGCCAACTAGTCATTGTCTCGAGGATAGTCAACAGCCGTAATAGATTCTGGCCTTCCCGCAGCCAGCAAGTATCCCCAGGAAAGCCTTTTCCCAGAAGAAGTTTATCAGGTTGTCTCCCATCCATCTGTTTATTTGTGAAGGCAAAAAACTGTTTTCACAATAATATAAATATCGTATTCGTACTCCCCTTTCTTTCCACCTTAGCAAATATAATTACTAAGTATTAAACTGAACATACTGTGTATGTATCTCCACCCATTTAAAATTTTTTTTCAGAAATGGATTGAGCTGTGTACAAGATGAAGATCAAGGGAAAGTAAAAGAAGTTGAAAAGAAAATCAAACAGTAAGTCATAAATATGCAAATTCCTTCCTTGCAGCAACAACTGGAATAATCAGGTTCTGCAGAGAGAATTAAGGGTGCCGAATTTAAAATCAAATAATAAATCTCTCTAACTTGCATTTACTGTACATAGGAACGAGAAGGCCATAGTAACTATGGAAAAGAAGCATCACATCAGGGAAAGATGGTCCGATTTGTCCCGTGTGTTTGTAACCATTACGTCACGTCTCTACGAGAAGAGAAAGAGCGAACTCTTGTCGAAGTTACATTGTATGGCATTCGAAAGATGTTTCTTGGTGGAATTGAAGCGAAAATATGCTGGTAATAAACTGAAGAAACTGCTATGTAAAATATTTAGTAGCATGTGTATTTTGGTGATCATGGTCTGCAGTAATTCCGTCGTTATGTTGCTGCGTATGCCTGTTGTTTTCAACTATGACTCTAGGCATTGTACTGGGATTAATTGAGAAGGGGTATAAGGGCTAAATTTTCTCAGTTCACGAGTCTTACACATTTACATTTTCCCATCTAATCCATAAAACTACCACTGCATTGCGTTTTTAGTTAGTGTGAACTTTTTAATTTTCAGATGGCCGGGCAATTGCTATAAAGCTTGCAAAGCAGACCAACAAAGTTGTGAAGTCCATCCACAAAACTTTGTGCGAAGTAAATGGGTATCTTCCCGATGGTGTACCCCAAATTCTTTATGAGGATGCTAAGGATCCTAGGAGCAGCATTTACTCTGAAGTACAAGAGGAAGGGGACACCATTCCTGCTCTTGTTAGGAGGCAAATAATTGACCTTTTCTGCTTACACAACAGGTGTCAGGAAGAGCTTGAGCTGTTGAAGGAGAAAATGAATCGCCTTGTCCCTTTTCTCCAAAACGAAATCAGGCTTATAGACAAATTAGTGGATGCGCTTCTGCCTCACACTGATAACCCTCTTAATGCAGGAATGATAGCTTGTCTTAAAAAGAAACAGATGATTCATTGTAATCACATTTCCTCACTGCCGCTTTTATGGGGTTGTATCTTGGATTCCCCTAAACCTATTGATCATGCTGATGTAGCAAAAACCTATGCTAATTTGAGTGGTATCAACTATCTTGTAGATGATGAGAAATCAGACAAATTGATGATGGAGGAAGTTGTGGACGATGAGGCCTTTGTTTTGGAACTGACATCAGACCGCAAATTATCTGATGATGAATAAAACTCATTTTGTCTCTGGTGCTTGCCAAAACCATACAGAAACAGCCGCTGTTTTGTTTATGTGTGTGCACCAACAGCGGGTAAACTTCTCGGAAAACCCAACAAATATCAATATATTGCGTAGGATTATACTGACTGGCCAATCATCAAAATATGTTTTAATAAATTCTCACCGTTGGCAAATTTCATCTTGGTGGTGATTCGTTGCAGTTTTTACGTTATTAGGATTATACATAGCATGTGTAGACGGTGTATTTTATATGCTGATCAGTGCCGAAGCTCCCTTAACGGACACTCGTAAGTGGACAGCTCTACTTACCCACCTAGTCAAAACTCTGTTTTATTAAACTCCCATACAAACTCTGTATTCTGATATTATTTCATCATTGCACAACTGTTTCCCCTTCTTTTGAATCATTGGCCCATTTGCAGCTAGTTAGCCTTCACATGACCCCCTTCTTAATGTTAAGAAACATAAAAGGCCTAATGTAAAGTCATTGAGTGGAGAGTGTGCCATTTTCTCCAGCCCCATGACTTCAGATTTCCAAACAAATAATTTTAAATATCTGGAGTTTAAAAACCTGAATCAAGGAAAGGCCAAAGGAAATCAGGAAAATAGGTAATTTATTACATTTCTCATTGTTCAGTTATGTTTTTCAGAGGATTATGTTCATTATAGTTACATAGATGAGTGTTTTCTCTACTGTACACAACATTCTTGACCTTTTTCAATTCATGCTCATTTTGACACAATGCATTTTTCCTATATTTTACACAAAACCAAGAGGCCCATTAGATGTTGTCCACTACAGGGATGTACCTGGGTTGGACGACGCTTTGATTACCACCAACCAAAAGTACACAATATTGGCAAAGATTCTGAAAAGTACTTATTATTAGTACACAAAAATGGCAAAATTTAATGTTTCTGTTTTTTTTAAATTTTTTTTTGTACAATCAAGCTTCTTTGTTAGAAAGTATGACATGCATGTAGCCTACTGTAATAGGTAATAAAAGTACCTTATACTGGATTTTGTATTCATTTGTAGACACACCACTTGGACCATTGAAAATGATCAACAAATTAACAAACAAACTTCTAGGCTAATCATTATCTATAGTTTGATAATAGTAACAATTTAAGAACTACATTTTATGATTCTCTGTATGTCAGCTGGTTATAAAATTGGCTTTCTGACAGGTTCTAAGGTATATTAAATCAAAGTTTATGTTTGAAAAAGCAAAAAAAATTAGGATTCATCTTTTGGAAATTACAATACGTTATCAATATGATACAAAAGTATTACAAACAATGACAATTGGGTCAAACAGTTGGGTTCCTGGGCATTTGCAAGCTGTCATCTTCCATTATCAATTCTGCGAGGTGAACAAATAACAGAGAGCAACCAAGAGGATGAGATCTGTTGCCACACATATTTTCCACTACAACTAAGTCATTTTTCCAAATATTGACTTTATAATTGAGAGCACCAGCCTCATGTGGTACAAAGGAGGAGGCGTTTCCCTATTATAGGGTCTTATTTGATGCAAATTCCAGGTCTCTGCCACGTTATGCAACTCCTCTTGAAGTAAGCCCATGAAACAAAATCACAGGCACTCGATGTGCATTACATTGCTGTTGTCAAAATGCCCAGTTTCTGATAAAACTTTAAAAAAACGCATCCACCAATCAGTGTTACTTTTTCTTAGGAAGGACCACCAGGCCTCAATTCTCTGGTTAGCTACAGATTTGCTGTACATAAAGCTTTTTGCTCCTGCAAGGTGATTCTGAGAATTCCGTCTCAGAAATCACTGAACTGCTGCAATGTGTACATTTTCAGTTCCACAGTCGCCTCTTACTATTAAAGGACAGCCACCAAACTGAGGGGCACAGTCAATAAAGTATAGCCCACTTTGGAAAAGAGCGGTAGCCTGGAACCGAAGTCGCCGCGCAAGCGCTTATGGGACTGTTTGGGGGGACGTAAGTAAAACAAAAACATGGCGGAATTTAGCGCGGAATGTAATAGTGACAGCAAGGTTTTAACAGAGCAAAATAGCGATAAGGTCGAAGTTATCGAAAGAAACAAATCTGACAGCGTAAAGCTGAGAGAAGAAGATGTACCAGGAGCAATTTTACCTCGGGAAATACCAGAAGAATGCACCGTGAAACAGCTGCAGCGATGGCTTCTTTGCCGTAGAGCTAAAACAACTAGAAAGAAAATGCAGCTTGTTCAAAGGTAAGAAAGCTTTGAAATTATTCAAGAACTCTTATTATTGCCCCCTGTGCTTTACATTACGATGCTAGTCGACAATTTTCTGAGAACATTGTTAATACGTTCGTGTTTTGTCTATTGTGTTTCAGGGTAAAAGACTATATTGCTGGTGGCCTAAGCTCGAAGATAAAGGACCCTGATGGTGGAATCCATTTGGCTAAAGCTAAGGCAGACCTGAGACTCATGGAAGAAATTAACGCTAAAAAACTCAAAGAAAACTTTCCAGTGGACGGATTTACAAAGGATTTGAATATTTTACCTGCTATATCATTTGGTACAATATGGAGGTACATGATTGAAGAGAGTGATGCTAAGAAGCAATTATCCACAGCAAAACCTCTTGTCAAGGGATACAATTTTTTTAAATCTGGCCATGTCCTTAGCATTAAATGCAGGGAATCTGACGGAAAGTTTTATGTTAAAAGTCAAGTTCTTCCATCAATGAAAAAGACAGTGTTGTATAATTGCTTCATTGTTTTCAACAAAGATGGCAGTGTAGTAACAGCTTATGATGGTTGCCCAGCTGGAGTTGACGGGCGTTGCAACCATGTAACTTCAACACTATTTGCACTGGAGGAGTTCTTCAAACAAAGTAAAGCACCTGTAAATCCTTCCTTAACCCCTGCACTTTCTTGCACTTCAAAGCCATGTGCATGGAATGTCCCAAGAAAAAGAAAGATTGACAATCTGCCAATTGCCAAAGCCAAATTTAAAAAACATCAACATGGCAAACTAAGCAAGAGTGAGGATAAATCTCCTCCATCAACAAGGGATGTTACAGCACCACACCAGCAGTACCCGAATACAAACACTGACATGTATAATTTATTGCACCGTGTCAAGGAGATTGAGAATAAGACAGGCAAGAAAATGGCCTTAAGTCTCATTTTACCGCAGAAAACTTTGGAGGAAAATAAAGAAATGATTTTGGTTGAACATAATTACTGCACACCCTTGACTCACATTGAACCAGTTGAACCAGAACAAGGAAATGGTAGTCCAGTGTCAACTGAACTGTTATCACCAGTGAAATGCCATCCAGTGAGTTTGGAAGAAATAAAGGAAAGGTGCATGCATAAAAGTTAAGAAAAGGCTCTTTGCTGATGAAAAGGATGTTGATCAAATTGAAAAAAAGAAACCATGGGCCAATCAGTAAATGAAAACTGGAATCTGCATCGAAAAATAAGAATAACTGCATCTAAATGCCATCAAATTGCCACTCTGCAAGCAACTACCTCCCTTACAAAGGCCATTAGTGAAGTCTTACATTACAAGCAGATCCCTCAAACAATTTATATGAAAGAGGGCTTGTCAAGAGAAGGTGCTGTTATTGCAGAATACATCAAATCAAGGAAACTGAACAATCAAAATGTCCTAGTGAGACCATGTGGACTTTTCATCAGCAAATCACATAATTTCTTGGCTGCATCTCCAGATGGCTTAGTATACAATGCCGACTCCACTGAGCCAAGTTCCAGTGGACTTATTGAAATAAAACTTGTCTTCCTAAAGGAGAATGAGACTTTGCATGATGGACTTATCAGAAAAAGAATCTTTCTTCCTGGTTCAACTGATGGACAGCTGGTTATCAACCAGAAACACAAGTATCACTATCAAGTCCAGCAACAGTTGTTTGTTACAGAGAAATCATGGGTGGATCTGGTGATTAAGGGAGTTAAAGAGCTTACAGACAGATCATTTGTAGACATTGAAGGTGTTTTCATTTCGACAGTAAACTTTGATCGTAAATTCTGGAGTTCAGTGCTCCCAAAACTGGAGGCATTTTACAATGAGCACATTCTTGTAGAACTTGCTTATCCGCGTGTTAAATATGGCCTTTCAAGATTTGACATGAGAGGATGTTGACTGACGTACATAATTAATTTGCTAAACTGGTATGTTGTTGAACTTACTTTCCTACATTGGCCTTGATGCCCACAAATAATGATTTTAATTCAAGGTTGGGGTGAACAATTTTCATGTGGTTTGATAAATTTACAATAATTTTGTCTGCGCCAGAATTGACTTGAAATCATTGTTCGTAATCACTTAGGTTGAATTCGGGAAAGTTCTATGAAAGGCATTAATAAGATAAAACTCACTCCATGTAAACAAGGCTGAACCTTAAATCTAAAATAATATCCCCAAGAAATTTAACGTGTGTAATTTACTTTTGTGTGTATGCTTTTTTTTTTAACAGAAGGAGCTCAAATACACAGATTATAATACATAATAATCAAAGTCTGAGTGAACAATCTTGCATATTATTGAAGATGAGGCAAATCAAGAAAGGTTATTAAATAAGATTCCACTATCTGCTTGGAGAAAAACATTGCTTTATGTACAAGTAGAAAGTGAAAAATTGTTGTATGGTTCCAGAAAGTCCATACTCACCCAATGAAAGGGCTTCGAAAATCTGAGGGGAGGGGGACCCAACAGCCAAAGTTTATTAGGGAAAGTATGAAGGCAAACTAGAAATTCCGGGGGGGGGCAGCGGGGGTTGGAAGGGTTTAAATGAAAAAACCCTCCTATGGGGAAGTACGGACATTTCTGGAATCATGCATTACACTTTAATCAATGAGAGGTGGTAAAAAGTTTGTAAGTGCCCCTATGATTATAAACATGTCACTAGCAATAGGAGCCAATGTTAAGGAATTCTGCTGTCAAAAATATGCCAGTTTTTCATCCTTTCATTACATCTCTCAACATGTATTCTCAGGCTAGCAATTTTTTTGTTGTGTGCCATTTCTTCTCTGCTGAACTGAGTTTTTCCTTTAAGAAAAGAAGGTATGTTTACAGTTACCCCTTTTGCAGCAAAGTCATCTTGTATGTCAAAGCCTTTGTCTGCCATGACATCGTCCCCAGGATGCAAGTAGTCAATCACATGAGACATTTTGGTAAGCTCCTTGTCACTTATGCTACCAGTGTAAAGCTCGCTTAAAAATCCCAGGGCTCCAGTGGGTGAAAGACCAACTAGTCCTTTCATAGTTGTTGTTCCTTTATACGAGGAATAACACACTGACTGCATGTCAAGTGATGAGGGGCTCTCTGCTCGAATTTCAACAGCATCAATAATTAGAACTGTCCTTGGATAAAGTTCCTTGAAAATGTTTGGCATGAACTGATGTAGAAGCTCTCTCCTGGGGAGGCAAATTAAAGGCTCCAGTTCAATCCTCATAAACCGAATCCAAGTGTTAAACACAACAGAAACAGTAGTTTCAGAAACATTAAATCTGTGTGCAAGATCCTTTTGAAACAAGCCAAGCCTAAGTCTCATTAAAGTCAAAACAAACTCTTCAAATAAAGTCAATGCTCTGGGCCTTCCAAGCTTTTGCTCTGAACCACTGTCTTTCTTTTCGTAACTGCCATAGTTCAGGTTCTGAGCCTTCTGACTGACCAGGTCATAAAGGAGCATAAGTGCATCCCAGTGGGGAAGGCCTGTGTAAAATTCGACATCTTCAGGGCTGTCCTTAAATTTTACAATGTCAAATTTCTGATTTTTCGTTACATGCTGAAGTCTCTTTAACTCCCTTGATAACTCGTCGTCTCTCTCCCTTGCCAACCTTTCCTTTTCCTCTCTCATCTCTTTAAGTTCGGCTTCCATTCGATCCAGCATTTCTACAGTCATTTCAGTTTGTGTCGCTGCACCGCAAAAAGAGGCCGGAATGAACTCCTCGTGATCAATTTCAATAAGAGTCCCTTCGTCAATTTCGGTAGAAGATCCCACGTCCACTTTTCTTTTCTTGCTTGCTGTATTTGCAGTCACTTCCGTTCTGGACAAAATCCGTCGCTCCTTTTCCTTCTTGCTCCAAGGAAATATCGATGGAAGGTGAGTTCTGCTGAGCTTACTACCTCCAGTCCAATGCGCAGAGCAAACGCGTGTACTGTCAGACTCTATCTTCAAATTATCATTTCTTAGTAAACGGACATATTCTCTGCGAATACTTTCATCTTTTGGAATTCGATAAAACAGCAATCCGAAGGAGTTTCTGAAATTATTGGTGCACAAAGGCACACAACAACTTACGTGCTTGGGCATAATTCAAGATGGCCGACTTGAGCGTCCCCCCAAACAATCCCATAAGCGCTTGCGTGGCGACTTCGGTTCCAGGCTACCGCTCTTTTCCAAAGTGGGCTATTGTACAGTTATCATTGGGTCATTATTGGAGGGGCCAACTTCAAGCCATGATATGTGTTGGCTGTATCAATTGATGGCACCATGAATACAAAAGCCAAATAGTTTCAACTTATCATATCCATCAAGATGCCATGTGAAGTTAGGTCCTGCTGCTACATATTTCCTTCTTTTGAATTGTTTCCTGGATCGCAGCTCCACTCCCTCTGGGTCAAGTCCCTTCACTAAATGTTGATCTGTCTCTCTATCTATTGGCAATCCGTGATCCTTAAGGAGACGCTGATGCATTTGTTGATACCAAATACAACTGCCTCTAGACTGTAACTCTTGGTCTATTGCATCTACAACCCTTTCAACTCGAGACTGAATCTTTTTCTGCAAAGTCCTTGAGATACGAGGATCTTTTTAAGGTGGCGCAAACTCAAGTGGACACCATGGTACAAAGCCAAAAAGGACAGAATTTCAGTGTAATTAAAACCAAGACGAAAATACTCTTTAATTAAATAGTTTCTGTCTTGATTGCCATTCCTCATACTTGGTAGATACTCAGTTAGGGTGTAGCTTTGTGAAATTGTTAGAGAGACAAACATTGCTTTAAAAACAACACCCGCCATCTTCGTTGTTAACTACTCAGACAAACATGCAAGCCTCATGTAACTACTACTGAAAGTTATAAGTCACAATCGCAAGTTGTAAGCTAGATTGCATGTTATAAGTGGCAATCGCAAGTTATGCCATCGCAAGTCAGTAACTTGCGACAAGAAAATTGATGTGTCCCTTATGAGCCTTAGTACTTTTGTGGCACAAGCTTTATTATACTTTTATAGAGTACTAAAGTCGTGACGTCACGTTTCCATGACATCTAAATTCTCAGTTCTAAACAAACAGCACATTCCAGAGAAAATGGCGTTGCTGTCGATTGCTTCACTGATTTCTTTCTTCTCAGAAGAAAAGAAGTCTATCAGAAAAGGAGAAAACCACTACCAATCGGATCATGTGGAGTCACTTTCGTATCAACAAGCTGTTTTACGTGGGGAAGTGCATGCAAGCATGAAAAAGAAGGTCTATAAAGTCACGGTGAGTTAACTCAAGCTAAGCTAACATCTTCTATTAAAAGCACTCAACAGAGCTCAAGATTTAATCCGATTTACAGTTCTGTTTTAGGTAGTTTTGTTTGGTTCTTTCACTTCTTTGAACGATTAGAGATGGTAAAGGCGATCTTAGCCGCCTAATTCCAACTTACCATATTTTTAAACGTAACGGCTACCAAACAAAAATTTTTGTAGTGATTTGTTTACTTCATAGCGTGGTTTTAACGCAGCACATTGTTGTTATCATTTGGGACCACCTGAATCCAATTTGTTGGTGTGATGTTATTTTGTTGTTTTCTTTTCCTAGATTTACTTGCATGAGCAACACGAAATTAAGTCGACTGGGTGTGAATACCCAAGAGGAGCATTTAAGTGTAGCCATGCAGCTGCACTCTTTATACACGGCATCCATAATCTAAGCAGAACTGACGTTGAGTGTCAGTGGAGGAAAAGGAAGTTGAACACATCACTCTCAGCTCAAGCTGTGGCAGAAATGTTCCCTTCACCTAAGAAGTACACTGCCTTGGGAAGAAAGCCAGTACAGGTTGACAGAGCACAGCTGTATGAAGACCTTAAACAATAAGGAAGGTTTACAAGCCTTTGCTGGCTGCTCAGCCCAGAACCACCTGCTTTTAATGAACTACCAATTCCAACAATAGAGGATATAATATTTTCAGAAGAGTTTCTCCAAACCAGAGGGCTTCAACAACAACTGGACTGTTTAGCTCAACAATTCAGAATACTTGAAGAAGATATATTGAAAATCAGTAGGATCACTGTTGGCCAGCATGACAATCCTGCCTGGCATTTGGCAAGGAGGGGCCGTCTTACTGCCAGCAACTTTGGTAGTGTTCTGAAAGCCAAACGAGTTACTCCCTCACTTCTGAAAGGCCTTCTTGGAGAATGTGACCTCTCAAGAGTGAAAGCAGTACAATGGGGAGTTAACAATGAAGAGGAAGCTATCAAGGCCTTCACCTTGAAGACAGGGAAAACAGTTAAAGAAACTGGAATCTGGTTTCATTCCTCTGATATCCTTGGTGCTTCCCCTGATCGGATTGTTGACCATGAAACTGCTCTTGAGGCCAAGTGCCCGTACACTGAAAGAAACCTAATCATAGATCAGGCTGTACAATCTTCAGCAACATTTTGCCTCGATAAATCTGACAGTGGAGTAGGCTAATTCATAAGATACCAAATAGTTTTGGGGATAATGATGTACTTTCTAAGGTTGGCTGGATGCCTTTAGAGTATTTTTTATAAGCTACGTATCTTAACTATTACATATAATGCTTATTATAATTTAGGGTTGCAGGGAAATTAATTGTTTGGTGACCAAGAACTCTAACAGTTATAACCTAAGGAAATCCCTGAATGTTGTACTTAATAGGCCCAAAACCGAATTGGGTCGTAGGTCCTTTGCTCATAGATCTGCAGTAGCATGGAATGCACTTCCCGATAATGTTAAAGATTCTCCAAATTTATCTATTTTTAAATATAACTTAAAACAATCCAAGCAAACTGTTATGAATATTAATTTTGAAAAGGGAGGTAATGTTATACAAAACATGAAACCAAATTTTCACTATTACTAAAACTTTATGGTTTACTTGATTTATTCAACTTATAAATTTTATCATATCTGTATTTTATATAATTATAGACTAATTAGTTTAGGCAGGTCCACATCAGCTGTAAAGTTGCGCAAATTTTAACCTGCGTTATCAAATAAAGTTATGTATGTATGTATGTATGTATCTTGCAGCTTCTATCTTATAAAAATTTCTAATTAAGAAGACAGTTCTCTATCTGCCTGTTTTAACACTGCAGGGTGACCATTAAGTATCAACAACCACACCAAAAGCTCTCACAACTGATTTCCGTCATTGAGTCAAATGTTGGCTCGTGGCTTCTAGGGAACCGATTTTGAAGTTGGAGTACAAGAAAAAGGAGTCTAAAAATCAGTAAGATTTATATAAGTTTAATCAGTTTCATAACAAAGATGGCGGTAGAGTATGTATTGAAGAAGGAGCATGTTTAATGGCACCGGGTCCTGGGAGAAATGTACTTTTATCAGCGAAAATTTTGTTATTGTGCTGTGTGGACCACAAAGGATGTAGCTGTTTTAAAAATAGAAAGGGATGAATCCTGGGCCGCAAACATCCCACTTTTAACACAATTTTATTTTAATTATATTTTCCCCAAAATAGTTGCAGGAGAATTGTAGAGTAATATTAATAATTGATTTTAATTAAATTGTTAAGGTTGGGACATATTTCAATGGTGATTTGTCTGGTGTAGAAGGCTTTTCATGCCACTGGGGGTTTCATTAACGTTTTCAACAGGAGGGCAACTGGTTTTCACAGGACTACAAAGCTTTTTGACCTGAACTTCTTTATAAGATAAACTTTGCTTAAGATTGTCAAACCAGGCCATCAAATTCTCCTCGCAGCCAGTCAATTTGCCTTGCCCTCGACCCCCTATGAAACCCCTGCCTGGCCTGCTCCTCCCCTTAATTTTTTCTCAAGAACTTTCTTTGGGTTTGGCTGTGATTCCCAATTATATATATTATATTATTTTTGATAAATTGTTGTTTCCATGAAATAGTATAATTTTGATCATTGGATGAAAGGGAATGACTAAATTATTAAATGCCCAATGAATGCCATCAAATTGTTTTTGTTTTGGGCAGACTCCAGTATTATTTTAAGTGGAGGTCAGTTTGCCCTGCAAATTTGACAAAAATTCAACTTTCATGTTAAGATTGTGAAAAGTGCAGGACTGTAGACTAAAGTTTTTCTTTTTTCACATAATTTACTACTAAAAATAATCCTGTGTGGATATATTTGCTGACGAGATTTTAGGAAAGGCTAGCCTTAACTCCTTGCAATATATTTAAGCTACAGTTCCTCAAACCCATATATGTATTTTCTTAAACAGTTTTATTATCCATCCCACCTGTAGTGTTCAAAACAATATTATTATTCAAAAACCTTCACAACCTTCTTTGATTAAAGGAAACTGCAAATTGACAAGTGCAGCACACAATTGCAAAAGAATGTTAGCATAACAGCGCAAATAAGATGGAATAAAACTTAAAATGGATATCGAATGGGAGAGAACTTTGCGAACTCTATGGAGTATTCTAATCCTTTTGCTTTGCTAATAGGATTTGTTGTTACGATGTTAATGAAAATTGGCAGTAATTATTGGGGGTCTGTCATTCAATTCAAAATCAGGCGAACAAAATAATGCGCGCTATTTACGATATCATATCAATATCATCTATCACGTCATCCATTCGTGACCTTTCGCCAATTTACGGCTAATGCTAAGAGATTGTTAATAGACTCTTCACAGACCTCTATTTTTGAACTTTCGAATTCCTCGAGTGTTTTGTTGACCACAGAAAACGGCTCATATTCTTTATCGCGAATGAAGATTGCCTACCTCACTTAAAGGTTTCTAAGACTTTAACAACAATCGGGACGTTTGGATTGCAAGCAAACTGCTACGAGTCTTCTTCGTGCGAGGCCGGCGATCACCATCCACAGTGGTAGTGAAAAGATCGAATTGAGATTCACCACGCAATAATGGCGGGCTATCAATATTGTCTGATATTCTTGACTTGGCTACTTATCACAATTGTCCTACACTCTCTTAAACCTAACCGTGGTTTCAATAAGACATCCTGCAGTATCGCTGTGTTGACGGGTTTGGACACTAAGCAGTATCCAATGTGAAATTCTGGTCCAACTCGGAGGTTCCTACATGAAGCACTTGTGCTGCCATCTTTGAAATGTATGGCTGCAATGAAATTTGCAAATATCACTGTCTGCGCAACTTATATGGTTCTGTTAGCAGGAGATATACAGGAGAATCCAGGGCCAGTGACAGTTGCTTGTGCTGTTTGCACGAAAGGATGCCGAAAGAATCAGATGGCGATACAATGCGATTCATGCGACAAGTGGTTTCATGCTAAGTGTATCAGTATGAAGAGAATGGAATATGATAAACTTTGCAAACCTTCTCTGGCTTGGGAATGCATAACTTGTTTATCACCTGGCTTTGATACACTGGTCCGCAAGTCACATGAAACAACTAACACAGGAGTAAAAGAAGGAAAGCCCATAAAGATCTTCATGCAAATCTTAAGAAGAGAGGAATGAAATTTGCTCATGTAAATATTACAACTTTGCCGAGACACTATGCCGATGCCGAAGTACTAATGGAGAAAGCAGCATTGGATGTGTTTGCGGTGACAGAATCGTGTCTGGATTGTACATGGCTCGATAGTAAGTTATGTCCTTCGGGTTATACTTGCTACAGAAGAGATAGAAATCGAAATGGAAGTGGTTGCGCCGTTTTTGTAAAGAGCAAATGGCCAAGCAAGTGGAGAAGTGACTTAGAATCTGACTGTTTAGAAATGGTATGCGTAGAAATATGTCCAGAAAAGGCTAAGAATGCGATATTTGCTGTGATCCACCAAGTATGAATCAAGAGAAATTTATCTTAGGCCTGGAACAGGAGTTTCTCGCTAAATTGGACAATGAAATGGTAAAGGATTTGATCATTATGGGAGATTTCAACGCGGATGTTATTGCCCTGAAACCATGCAAATATACCAGAAAATTAATGCAAATGACTCGTCTCCATGGTCTGAGTCAACTCGTCAAAGAGCCCACACGCGTGACAGAATTCACAAGTACGGCAATTGATCTTGTGTTTGTTAATAACACTCACCATATTGTCTCGTATGGAGTCCAGGAATTTGGAGCAAGTGATCATTCTGTTACTTTCGTAGTAAAGAAAGCCAGAGTTTGCAAAGCTCACATGGAAATCTGCAACATAAGATCTTTTAAACATTACAATAAAAACCATTTTCGGAGAGACATTGCTAGCGTTCCCTGGAGTGTTATAGAGTCTTTTGACAATATTAATGATGCTGTAGTCACCTGGAATAATCTTTTTGTTGATGTTGCAAACCAGCATGCTCCTTTAAAGAGAATTAGAACAAAACATGCGTCTAAACCTTGGATCACTAATGATCTTAAAGAACTGATGGCTGAAAGAGACTATGCATTAAGAATTGCGAAGAGATCTGGCAATCAGGAACAGTGGAATGAGTATCGTAGATTGAAAAACTTTATGAACAGAAAGATAAAATCAGCGGAGGCATTGCACTACAAAAATCTCATTGAGTCAGCTGAGAATTCTAAGGACGTGTGGCGCTCGCTAAACTCCGTGATTGGTTCTAATAACCAGGGGGGCTCTCCTTTTCAAGTACATGACGGGAAACGTTTAGTATCGGAGCCAAAAAGCGTAGCAACAAAATCCAACAAGTTTTTTGCTGCCATTGGTAGCAAAGTTGTTGATCGATTGCACCCTGTGAGTAAGGACGCATGGAAGAAATATGAAACAGTGAAAGAAGCAAACAAGCAGAGTGATATCAAATCCACCTTGGACTTTCAACGGGTTGAACAGAACACTGCTCAAAGCATTTTGCATTCTTTTAAAGTTAATAAGGCAGCTGGACTTGACAGAATTCCAGCAAGGCTGCTAAAAGATGCTGAGGCGGAGCTTGCTCTGTCAATCACCTATCATGTGAACAAATCAATTAGCGATGGTATTGTCCCTGATCTGTGGAAAGTTGCACGTCTTACTCCTTTATACAAGTCTGATGATAAACTGCAAGTTGAGAACTATCGGCCTATCTCTGTGTTGCCAGTATTGAGTAAAGTCGTAGAAAGAGTGGTGCATTCCCAGTTGAATGCCCATCTACATCAGCTAGATTTTCTGTATAAACACCAGTATGGCTTTAGGCGTGGGCATAGCACTGAACAAGCTACATGTATCACACAATTTGAACAACTGGGTTCTTCAATCTATGGACAAACATAAAGTAACTGGTCTACTGTTTGTCAATATCTCCAAGGCATTTGACTCTCTGAACCACAAAGTGCTACTACACAAGCTCGAGCATTTAGGGCTGTCTCAAAGATCTTTAAGATGGTTCAGATCATATCTTGCTCATAGACAGCAAAGTGTTTTGATAAACGGAGAATTATCAGAGCCACATACCATCACACTTGGTGTGCCACAAGGCAGCATTTTGGGTCCCTTGCTATTTAATTTGTACATTAATAGCCTGCCAAATACTGTTAAAGAGACCCGGACTTGGTGATTTATTTCAGCTAGAGCCTGTTATGGATGCCTATGTGTTTAAAGATCTGAAAAATTCCGAATATGGAGCTCTTGCCCCTAACCTGTGGCATGAACTTTTTACAATGTTTGAATTAGAAGAAATTATGAGACAGAGAGAGAGTAGAGAATTTGCTCAACTTCTTAACAGGTTAAGAGAAGGTAATCATACTCCAGATGACATTGCAAAACTAAAAGAGAGATGCATTTCAGAAACGTGTAGAAATTATCCAATTGATGTTCCCCATTTATTCATACAGAATTCAAAAGTGGATGAGTTTAATATTAGAGTTCACATGGCTGCAACTGGTTATAAGAATACAATTAAAGCCTTAGATAGTGTTGTAGGAGCTAACTCTGCAGAACTTCGAGATAAGATCTTGAGGCAAGTACCACTTGATCCTAGGAAAACTAAACAATTAGCTTTTAACCTTCAACTTGCGGAAGGTGAAAGAACAGAAATTGCAGTGAATTTAAGGACTGATGATGGTATGACAAATGGTGCTGCTAATGTTATAAGGAGGATACAATTACATGATAGAAACAGGCCTTCTGGAATAATATGGGTAGAATTTGACCATGCGCATGTAGGAGAAAAAAACTAGACATGATTATAAGCACTTGTTTGTACAAGGTATTAAGCGCACATGGACTCCTATTAAACCTTTTACTGCACAGTTTGCAGTTGGAAGAAACAGAGCAGCTCAGGTTGTGAGGAAGCAGTTTCCACTGAGACCTGCAGCTGCTAAAACCATTCACAGATCACAAGGTGACACTGAAACAAGGATAGTGGTTAACTTTAACACCAAGAAAGCTATACCTCACATACTTTATGTAGGACTGAGTAGGTTAACCCACATTGAGGGATTGTATATAACTGACCTTTGCGAAAGCAAAATAGCTGTAAATCCTGATGTAAAAACAGAAATGCAACATTTACGAACAGAAGGTTACCTCAACCCATCTATTATCCCTATATATCAAACAGTTCAAACTGCTTTTAAATTATGCTTTCTTTGTACGGTC